ACAAACCGATCTTTCAGGGTATGATCGACGCTTTAATGTCAAGTGGTTTGATGAGTTTGACTGGTTGGAGTACAGTATTAATAAAGATGCTGCATTTTGCCTTTATTGTTATCTCTTCAAATCAAATTTCAAAATTGGTCAAGGATGTAGCAATGCCTTCACAGAGATGGATTTTAGAAATTGGAAGAAGAAAGATAAAATTAGGCAACATATTGGAGGTGTTGGGAGTGTTCATAATCAATCTAGACTAAGTGGTTTTTCTTCTTCTCCCACCTGAAGTGATCTTTTTAGTTTTTGCACTATCTTTTTTTATGGTATTGCTTTTCTTCAATTCTAAAGCAATTAGATATGAGAAATTTATTTCTTTGATTTTAGGTCCTCAACTCAAGTTTGGTGAAGAAATGATGGATAATTCTATAGAACTTCACCGGAAACGTGCTTGAGAAGAAGAAGAAGAAGAAAAAAAAAATGAAGAAGAAATGAAAGAACTTTGAAAGAATATTTAGGTTGTTGAAGAAAAGGTGGAGTATTTTACGAACACCCTCCTTTTTTGACGTAAACACACACATAAGAATCACCAATGCTTGTTGTGTGTTGCATAATTTCGTATATGTTGAGCAAGTGTAATGATCTAGTGCTAGAAGCTCGAGATTCAGAACTATTGGATTTAGTTGATTGTGACATATCAAGTATACCAATAGAAACTCATAACAACACCAAAAAAGGAATTACAAGTGTGCAAGCTAGTAATAAGTGGACATTATTTCGTGATCAGTTGGCCAATAACATGTTTGCTGATTATCAAACACAATAAGGTCTTGTATAGTTCATGAAGAACAATTAGAAAACTAATTTCAAGTAAAGGCTTAGTTCCAATTATATATTATTAATCATACTTTTTTAATTTCAAATGACTATATGTAATTTGATGATATGTAGTGTTAGAAAAAAAAAAAAAAAAAAAAAAAAAAAAAAAAAAAAACTAAAAAAAAAAAAAAAAAAAAAAAAACAAAAACAAAAAAAAAAAACAAAAAAAAATTTACAAGAAATTACCAAACAATCAAATCCCACCATCTAAAATTAATTAGCCAAACAAGGAACTTCACTAATCTCATCATTTTGAAGTCCCTCACCTTAAAATCTCATCATTTTGAAATTCCCTCACTTCAAAATCCCATCATTTCAAAGTTCCTCATCCAAACACAACTTAAAGGTTTAATGCACTCTAATTGGTGGTGTGAAAACCAAGCATCCCAGGATGTGGACTAAACTTAATGGCCTCCAAACATTTTAAATACGGATATAAAAAGACTAAGGCCCCGTTTGGTTCATGGACTGAATTTGAGGGGAAATCATTTCCCATGTCATTTCCCAAGGAATGGGAATGGAAGATTTCTTTCCCACGTTTGGTAATGTTGGGAAAGTAACCGGGAAATATCACTTTATTTCTTTTCCCATGTTTGTTTTGAGTAGGAATGGAAAACAAAGTTTGTATAAATTTTCAATTATACCCATATTAAATCAAATAAAAAAAGAATGCATTTAATGATATATTGTAATTCTAAATTGTTAATGGGGATAAAATGGTCATAAAAAATTTGTATTTAATGTTAGCTCATTTTCCCAAACTTTCCCATGAAGAGGGAAAACAAAACCCAAGTTGGGAGGATGGCTTCACTTTCCCCCTACTTTCACCTAGACTTACCAAACACGGGAAAAGAATTGATTTCCCATTCCCAAGTCTCATTTCCCATGAACTAAATGGGGCCTAAAGGATTGGCCAAGAAATATATTGTTTTGAGGGGTGAACCACGATTGTATTTGTTGTTTTAGACTAACGAAGGAGATTGCAATGTTGAAATAAGTGATTGTAATCTGGATTTGTCATTCGTTGATACAAACTTAATACATGAACCAGAACCCACTGTTTAGTTTGTGTCATTTTTGAGTCGTATTATGTGCCCAAAATTGCTCTCTAATTGTTACAATGCAAGTTAAACTATTTGTTGTGTCAAAATCAAGTTATTTTAATTTGGTGTTAATTTTGATCGTACGTAAATGCAACTGATAACAGTTGGGATGAGGAAAAAAAAATTCTAACCGCTTTCTTATTCTGTGAGTCCTAAGGAAAAACTCCACATATGGGGAGGAGGAAGAAGCATTATTGCCCCCCTCATCCCCTTTTCTCTCCTTGCCTTTTTCTTTTGGGTATAACTCCACTGGGGCGTTTTGAATAAGAAGCCCATTGTGTTCTTTTGAGCTATGCTCAAATTGAAGTTCTCCATCACCCCTTTTAGGCATTCTCAAACAAATCATTCCCCAAAACCTACTCTTTAACACTGCTCATGCTCTCCAAATTTGGGTCTACATCATCTTTGATGGAGGTTATTGCAAATCACCAAATTGTTCTCTGTCAAGATAGTTGTTTTCATTTATTTGTTCACTCTTATGCTCATGTAGATCATTAAAAACCATGTTTTCCCTATATCTATTATAGATGCAATGGTAGGTGTGGCCATGATGACACTTCTTTAGGTGGTGGTGGTAGGGTTCGTTCAGGCTCATGAGTTGCCTTAGGGTTATGTTGGGTAAGTGGGCTTTATTTGAGCTTGTGGTTAATTGTGGTGATGTGACCTCCTTTCATATTGTTTTGAATTGACTTTTATTCTAATTCATATATTAAAATAAATCATCCTAAGGAAACCAAATGATGAATATTATTTATTTATTTATTTATTTTATGAAGATTTATATATTTCTTATGGAGCATTTTGGTTCACCACTTTAACTCATATAGGGCTCGTCAATGGGCCGGGCCGGGCTAGCCCGGCCCAAATTGAACGGGCTTGGGCTGGGCCGGGCCGGGCTTTAAAGAGGAGAGAGAAAATATCGGGCCGGGCCGGGCCGGGTTTTTTTAGAAAATTCAAAGCCCAAGCCCGACCCATAAGTCGGGCTTGAGAAAGCCCATTGGGCTGGGCTGGGCTAAGCCCAACGGGCCGGGCCGAAACGGGCCTACTTCATTCGAAAAAAATCATAAACTTAATCATAAGGGCATTTTAGTCTAAATTTGAGATTAAACTCACTTAATTCCAATATTTTCACATCAAACCAAATTCATAAAATACCCAATAAAGTCACACAACTTAATAAGATTTTCCACAAAAATAATAAAACAAAGTATTATTTTTGAGGTTATTACATAATTAGACCGTAATACGTTTTAAGAAATAATTTTAAAAAATAATAAGTATCAAAAATATTTTTTTTTAAAGGACGGTATAAATAAATATGTAAATGTTTGGTGATGTGTTCAAGAAAAACATGATTATATTTTGTGGTAGTAGTACGATTATGTTTCGTGATATGATTATATTTAGTGATATGATATATTGTTCATCTTATATATATATATATATATATATATAATTGTTGTATTAATAATTGACACAAATTAATGTGCTAATCATCCAATTATAAACTAGGAATGAGTAAAGAAAAGTAAATGAAATGAAACAAATTATATATATGATTTAAGTGATATAATCCTAATCCTAAACTCTTATTTATACATAATTATATATGTATGTGGGCCTAACGGGCCGGGCTTTTGTGGGTGGGCCGGGCCGGGCTTTCTTGGGCTTAATCGGGCCGGGCCTATGGGCCGGGCCGGGCTTCAGACACCCAAGCCCAAGCCTAGCCCGGCCCAAGGCGGGCCGGGCCATCTCAAAGCCCATAACGGGCCGGGCCGGGGCTTTTTTCCAATGGGCCGGGCGGGTCCCCATCGGCCCATGAGCCCGCGGGCCAAATGATGAGGCCTAAACTCATAGTGTTTCATAATCATTATAGATGGATCTTATAAGTGGCTAACTTGGGCTATAGCCTAGGTGGCATTTTTTTTGGCCCACCCAAGTCTACCCCTATCATGAATTTGAGGATTTATTATTAGAGTTTATGAAGTATCAATTGCAATTGAGACTTATGAATTATCAATTGATGATTTGCAATGGAGGCTTATTAGTTTCAATTTATGAGTTATGAATTATCAAATAGGATTTGTAATTGATTTTGGTGTTCTTGCTTATTCAATAGGTTATACTTTATTAAACATGCTCATTATTTCCCCATGACTAGATCTATATATATATATATATATATTTGTTATCAATGAAATTCACTTGAGTTTTCTATTTACTTAGTAAGTTTGTACGTAAAATCCATTTAGCCAACTTCATTTTGAAATCCTGAGTCCATTCCTTATAACCACCATTCTCAATTTTGACACATATCTATGAGCATTACTATGATTCCACAAATACAAATCAAATAGTTAACTATAATTATGACTATAAACACATATTATGTGTTAAAAATAATGATAAAAGTACACCTTAAATTAAAGTCATATTTCTTATGTTCATGTTTGTATTGTTAATTTGATATTTAGTCGGAATTTAAGCAATGCCATGATTTAGTTTTGTTTGGTACCTTTTATTTTTCTGAATTATTATCACTCATCTGTTTGACTTATTGGTGTACTCTTAACCAACGTGGCACCGTCAGCTCAAACGAGGACCAATCCTTAGTTAGAAACTTTAAAACTACTTTTTATGCGCTACGCATGGATCATGACGATTGTCGTTAGGACAAATCACGAGACAGAATCTAAACGGAATATGCCTCCTCCGCTTCTTCCGCAGCACGCGCGTCTTCCTCTCCAAGTCATCGCCTTGATGCCCAAACATGACGCCGTCTAACGGTCCACTTGTTTCCAAAACCTGGAAACGGTACCGTTCCACTCCTGATCCCTTTCTCAAACCACAAAAACGCCGTCGTCTACAGCTATCCCCTATCGCATTTCCTTGGCAACATAATTTCCACGCCTATAAAAAGTACTTCATCTTCATCTTCTTTAGTCTCTCACTGTAAGCTCTTCTCTCCCACATCTACGAATCTACTTCATCGATCGAATCTTCTTCCTCTTCTCTCCTCAATCAGAATCCATGGCGAAAGAACCAGTTCGCGTCCTCGTTACTGGAGCCGCAGGTACTGTAACGTTTCCTTTACAATAGGAATCTCACTGTTCAGCTTCACTTCTAACTAGTTTTGAGCGATCTTCTAGTTCTAGATCTGCGAAATTCTTCTGAAAAAAAATATATTGTTCATGCTTTTTAGCTTGTAGTTTTGCATATTCTTGATGCGCCGTTTAGATCTGGTAGGTAATGGTATAAAACTTACATATGGTAGGGCTGAGATTCTCAGAAGATCGCTGAAGTAGTAAGTAGATGTTGTCAAATCATACGGCTTATGATTTGTTTGAAGTATTGATCCAAAACTGGATGAGTTTGAATTTTGTCTTTTATAGTGGTATTTGATAGTGTGTATCTTTATCACTGAAGTAGTAATTAGATTGATGCTTTCAAATCATGTAGTGTATGATTTGTTTAAGTGGCGATACGAGATTTGATCAGTTTGAATTTTTGAGTGGTGTATAAAAGTATGTATATTTTTGGATTTTCAGGTCAAATTGGATATGCGCTTGTACCAATGATCGCAAGGGGGGTGATGCTGGGAGCTGACCAGCCGGTCATTCTTCACCTGCTTGATATCCCACCAGCTGCTGAGGCTTTGAATGGTGTCAAGATGGAGTTGGTCGATGCTGCTTTCCCTCTTCTTAAAGGTAAATAGGGAAAAACACTCAACTGATCTGTTATATGCACATGTACTGTGTTTTTGTATGTGATGTAATTGATATTTGTGTATTTATCAGGTGTTGTTGCTACAACTGATGTTGTGGAGGCATGCACTGGAGTCAACATTGCCGTTATGGTTGGTGGCTTCCCAAGGAAGGAAGGCATGGAAAGAAAAGATGTCATGTCAAAGAACGTTTCTATTTACAAGTCACAAGCTTCTGCTCTGGAGAAGCACGCAGCTGCTAACTGCAAGGTAAGTGCCAAATTTTCAAACAAATTTTTTTTAGTTTGTTGCGTTTTATCCATGTTACTGGGTTATGAGATGAGTTTTGTACACGTCCCAAATACACAACTCCATCTTCATGGAGAATCATGGCTAATTTGTCATTGTATCGGACTGTGCCATGTATCTCTTTGTTTTCTCAATGAAATTCTTAAGGTGGTTCCACAGATGCGAGATTGTAAATTTGTCATATCTGTATAAGGGGTGTGATCAACCCCCCCTTGGAAAACAACTAGCTTTCCTTTCTTTAGGTTTTCTATACAACATGAAGACACTTGTTGCAGTTTAAAATTTCAAATTGATTTGACATTTATATGCTACCTTTGCTTTCTTTTGCAGGTTTTGGTTGTTGCTAATCCTGCAAACACCAATGCACTGATCTTGAAGGAATTTGCACCATCAATTCCTGAGAAAAACATAACCTGTTTGACTAGACTAGATCATAACAGGGCTTTGGGCCAGGTTTCAGAAAGATTGAACGTTCAAGTTTCTGATGTTAAAAATGTTATTATCTGGGGAAACCACTCATCGACACAGTATCCTGATGTCAACCATGCAACTGTCAAGACACCATCTGGAGAGAAAGCTGTCCGTGAGCTTGTTGCTGATGATGCGTGGTATGAGAATGGACAAATATTTAATTCTAGCTTTAGTCCTGTTATGAGGTTTACTTACATTGACGCACTCCTTTTTCGGTAGGTTGACAGGAGAATTCATTACCACTGTTCAACAACGTGGTGCTGCAATCATCAAGGCTCGTAAGCTGTCCAGTGCATTATCTGCTGCTAGCTCTGCTTGTGATCACATTCGTGATTGGGTACTTGGAACCCCCGAGGTGTGTGATTCTGTCTGGTTTTCAATTATATCATGTTAGACACATGTATGTATGCTTATGATTTATATGTCCATACATTCAGGGCACCTGGGTTTCCATGGGTGTGTACTCTGATGGCTCGTACAATGTTCCTTCTGGTCTCATTTACTCATTCCCAGTCACTTGCCAAAATGGGGAGTGGAAGATTGTTCAAGGTAAAACCCTCCAGCTCCTGCATTCCCTGACATTTTAATAGAATGAGAAATTCTCAGTGTTCTAATATCTTTTTGATTTGCAATTGTCTAGGGCTCTCTATTGACGAGTTCTCTAGGAAGAAGTTGGATGCAACCGCAGACGAGCTCAGTGAGGAAAAGGCTTTGGCATACTCTTGCCTCTCTTGAATGTTCCCATCTATTATTCCTGGGCATGGTTCGAAGTTGGCCTGCCTGCAATGTGTGACAAATGGAAGTAGCTGAAGTTTTGAATAATGCCATTGTTAAGATAGAGAGACCTGTTAATGATGCAGAAGCTGCTTCTGTGGGTTTTACAGTTGTTGAACCCATTGTTATATCCCGGATGCTCGACTTTTTTTCTCTCTTTCGTTTCTTTGGAAAAATTGCAAATTTGAATGTGGGATTGAGACGTAAAATAACCCATATTTGCCTTGATTCTAAGACTTAAAAAAGAGTCCACAGGTTTCATGTGACTTAAATTACCTTTCAAGTCTTCAGAGTTTGATAACATAATGAACCGCTGTTTGTGGTCATAATGGTGTCTACAATCTTTGGTTATATTTAAATGTTAATCTGCATTGTGCATTATATAGGGATTGTTGAACGCGATCTTGCTTCCATTTTCTAAATGATTTGGTTTGTGTTTTTGCGAAAGAGAGGACAAATCGTTCATACCCAGAATAGTTTACAGTGAAAAAGAACATTATAGTCCCAACTGATATAATTATAATATAATTATAAGAGGAAAGTACCTTGAGGATAGAAGTCAATCAACACAACTGATAAAAAATCAACGTTTTTGTAACTTGTTAAAGTTTTGTTAATTACTAGAATCACCAGTTAAGAACAGTGAATTTTTTGCATGTTTGGCCCTTGGTGAACACCTATTAGAATAAAAGAAAGGTTAAAAGAATTAAAAAGACATAAAATTGAATACCAAGTTGAAATTAGGAATCTAGAAGAATTAAGAAAATCACCGGAAGTAAGTAATTATCCAAAAAGAAAATTAGAAGTATAGAATAGCATAATAAGAAACCAGTATCATTTACAAGTTTGTAAAGAATCCATAGAAGCATTTCAAGAGCATTTAGGCATATTAAAATAAAAAGGTAGACTTAGATAAATTTTAATTATATGATACAGTACCTTAATTTAGAAATCAATGAACAACAAAAGAGAAAATTAACTTTAGATAATAATACATTAGTTCATTATTTTCCACAAAAAGAACATAAACATTTATTACACAGCAGTAACAATCCATTATAAAATAGGATTGTTGATCTTTTAATTAGTCAAGCAAAAAGTATAAAATTTGAACGCAATATACATAATAGAATAATTCAATAGTTATTAGAATATTTTTAGAAAAATCCCCTAAAAACAATTAGACAACACTTCGACTATACAACATCTAAATTAGAAGATGATAATAAAAATATTCAAAAAATTTCAAGCAAGAAAGAAATCAAATTCAAAGATTTTTAAGCAAGAAAGAAATCAAAGACCTAATAGATCTTATAAATAGCAAGCCATGAAATTGTTGAGCAATTAAAAATAGAAGTGCAAAAAATAAAATTAGTACAAAAACATTAACTGAACAAGTAGAAAAGTTACATAATAAAATAGATAGACTTTTAGTTTAATGGCATATTCTAAAATTAATAATAAATATAACAAAGTATTAGAAGAAGTTGGTAACCTAGATAACGAACCAGGAGGCCTTACAGAATTTACAACATATGTTGTAAGTAGTAATATCTCTATAAAACAAAATAATTTGATTATCCAATTAATTTTAAACCTAGCTGAAAAAGTAGATCAATTAGAAGAACAAATAGTAGAAATCAATCAAGTAGTGCACAATACTACTTCCACACTACCCAAAGAATTAGTTGATAAATTAGAAAATTTAACCTTTGGAAATAATCCTCATAAAAGAAAAAGTAGAATCAATCCATAACCCTAGCGAACAAGAATTTCTTAGAAAAGGTTTTGAAAAATCCCAAAAAAATAAATATAATTTATATCAATTGGGAAGATTTGAAAATAAACATAGTATTGTAAGTAGCATTAGTCAACATGAAGTAAGTTGTATAGATAAAGAAGTAACTCTTAATTTACTTTGTAACACAACAATAAAGCGGCTCAAAAAATTACACTATAAACAAATTCATTAGGAGCAATTATGATAGGAATAGCTGGACTGACAAGAGCACAAGTAGGAACTAAAGCATTAGTATACATATATGATAATAAATGGGATAACCATTAGCAAGCAACTATAGCCACAGTAGAAGTAAACCTTAGCACAAACATAGCAATCATAGGATGTATTCCTAATTATGTCATGAATATTAGAGAATTTAGTAAACATATTAAAATTAGCATAAGAACAAAAAATTATAATATGAAGGGTGAATATAAAATTTTAAGTATTAGTCTTTTGTATGTAGGAAAAGTTTCAGACAACTATAATTATAAATTTAATGTAGATATGATAGAGGCAAAATCAATAGATAATAGCTTTTTAGAAGGAACATAATAGATTTTAACCAATTTGCAAGTAGCAAAAAATAGACAACCTGATAAAGCATAGATTTTTGAAAATCGTATAGGTGAAGCAATTGTAAGATTTACTAATTATACACATGGCATTTGATAATTTAGAAATAAATATGATTGAGCATAATTTTGATAATATATAAACTCGTAGATGACATAGATAATTTAAATGAAGAACAATATATAGAAAAATATAAGACTTATGATTTAGGATTATATAGATTATCAGATAAAGAAATGAAAAACTTAATAATATAGGATTAGAACACATTTTAGGATGGGCATGAATTTTATATCATAAGAAACATAAAGAAAAACCTAAATCTGAAGAAAAAAGTTTGTAGATATGCATTAGGTAAATTTAGTGATATACATGCTAGACTTCCAGCCATTGACTTAAAAATTTTAGGAGTAATAAACTCCCTTGAAGCATTTTCATTGTTCTTACATAATGAGATATTTACTATTAGAACATATTGTCAGAATATTGTTTCTCATTATAATAAAATTACTATTAATAAACAAGCAGATCGAAGATGTGTTAATTTTGTTGATTCTATTACAAGAAATGGATTTAGACCAATATTTGAGCATATTAAAGGTATGGATGATAATTTAGCATACATCTTATCCCATATTATTCACTAACATGTATGCAATATTTTGGAGCATTATCCTCTAGCAGCAAAAATAATGGTACACCATCACAAGGTGGTAAACCATTAAGCATGAGTAGTCAAGCAAGACCAGTAGTAAATACGTATTATTATAATGGAATTCCAGTACAAGAAGCACTACTACAAAAAACGAAATAGACGACGGAGATCCACCGTCGTTGTGATGCTTTGAAAACCGTCGTTAAATCAATCGCCTTCTTTTTGGAGTATCAAACTATGACGGCTTTTCACCGTCATTGTTTATCTATAAAGACGACGGTTTTATATGAAAAGAAGACCGTTTTTTTGTTAAAAATCGTAGTTCTTTATAGGTAAAGACGACGGTTTATAGAAAACCGTCGTCATTTATGAGTAAAGACTACGATTTTTGTTTAAAACCGTCGTAAATTATGGGTAAATACGTAGATATTTTGTTACAAACCATCGTTGATTGTATATAAAGAAGATGATATTGTGTTGAAAACGGTCATTAATTATATGCACAAACGATGGTTTTTCCAATAAAACCATCGTTTTATTATCTTTAAATCTGTTGTCTAATAAGTTCTCAAGCTGTTACATTTTAGTTTTTTGTTTCCTATAATTCTATACAATGATTTTAACGAGAAAACCAATTATAATGCTTTATTAAGAATATATACACTTAAAAATTATTTCTTTCATAAAATGTGAAGATTCAATAGTTATTACATAGTCAACTAATCTTTATTCTATTACATACATACATGAACATCAAACTCCACAAACACGAATCTTACTTTAGCAATCATGTTGTTTTGTCCATTCACAGTGCGCCTTATGTGAGCTTTGAGAAAAGATAACCATAAACAAAGTATTCCTGAAAATAACAATAGGGATAAAAGGCAGAGCCAAAGTAAGAGAAGGGGTTTAACTGAACTACTCCAATTATATCTGTAACCAATACCCAAATCCAAACCTATAACCAACACCAACAACAACAATACTGAACTCAAAAAACAAAGATTCTTTTAATTCTTCTAAAGAAACATACATACATATATATATATATATATATATATATATATGGTAACAGCCATTCTCTGTGGTCAATTCAGCCACTCCTTTCTCCAATCTGCCAAACCAAAGTGTATTAGAATTGCTTTGAGTATTTTAATTAACCCTTTTCTTGGTGATCTGATAATTGCTTTTAGTTTGAGTTTTACCAGTGAGATGGTCCACCAAAGAGCCATTTGAGATGTTCTCAAGAACAATAAATACATTTCTAGCTGCAATTGGATGGTCCTGATAAGTGACAGTGCAGTGTCCAAGAAGGCTAACCAAATGCCTATGCCTCAGTTTTGGCAAGGCTTCCATGCTCTGGTCCAAGTTTTGGGGCAACTGCTTCTGCTTTAATTTCACACATTTCACTTGTACCGATAAACCATCTTTGAGCCAGCCTTTTTAGACCGGTAATGTATATATTGCACAGAAATAATGACATCAAGTTGATGAATAATAATGTTGGCTTCATCAAATAATGCATTGAAAGCCAACAAACAGCACAAATTCAATGTTAAGACCAGTCCCTGAGATCCTTCTCCCATCAAATTCGTGGCATCGAAATTGTTTGTTGCATCATCAATTTCTTCCAATGTAAAGACACGATATGGTGGGAGCCCAAGTGTTGGTAACCCACGCCCTGAAAAATCCAAATCAATATAATCAGCTTCAATGCTTCACGAACTAAAAACCATAAAGCATGCATCTTTGTTTTCAGGGTTTTTTTTTCAGTCATTAAAGTTAGAGACTTTCAAAGGAATTAAGGAAACAAAGAGGCATTACTTGCATCGATGTTCAGGCTTTGGGGAGCTTCGAACAGAAATTTTCTCAACCATGGATCTATCAGATTTATCTTCTCTGTTCCTCTGGCCTGCCCTTCCCTTTTGATAATGACCAAAATCAACAACCCAATGATTGCAGCCGCACACACAACACGAAGAGAATACAGAGAGAGAGAGAGAGAGAGAGTTTGGCTACCCATGAGAATCCTAGAGAGTCTGAGAGCCATGAGAACTGAAGGATTCAAAATCTCCTCATTGCCAACAAAAAATCATGAAAATCTAAGCTAAACTAATCTAAAGTAGCTTCGTACCTTTCTGGCCCACGAGGAAGAAGATCTAATCTAAAGCTTATGAAATGGAAGATGGGAATCCAGATGGGGGCTTAAAAATGGTTGCGATGAGGAAGGGTAGCTTCCATGGGCAGCGTGAGGGAGATGGCGAACGCGACAAACTCGTTGACCTGAACGACGCGACGGAGATAGTGATCAAGGCAAGTTCGGTGGACGGCGCGAGGGAGATGTGCTTCATAGATGTGAGAGGGTTTTTTGAACGGTTCGTGGGATAGTACAGTGTTTGAGAGAGCATGGGTTTTTTGAAAAGCTCTAAGGTATCGTCGTAATTTTAAAAATTAACCCAATGCATCGATGTATTAGAACATCTCCAACCGATGTGTTAAAAGTGCTACATAGACATTTAACGGCTAAAATTACATCTTACATCACTCCAACCGATGTGTCAAAGCTGATGTGGAATGAAGGCTGGAGGTTGAGATATTATTTTTGACATCCCAAAAGCAAGATGTCAACTGAATATTTTATTATTTTTAAAAGATAGTTGGTTGTTACTTTCATTTTTTTTTCTTCTTCTTTATCTTAAATGATTTGACTGTTATAATAATTATTTATTTGACATATCGGGTGGAGTGTAAAACTGTGTAAATGTCAAATTGTCACATCAGCCATCAAATTTAAATTTGATGTTTGGTATTTGACATCTTCCTTGGAAATACTCTTAGGTACCTTACCACGATGGTATTAGAGCAAGTCCACCCCAAAAGGCAAAGGCAAGGCAAGGGCTGCCACTATTCATGTGAATAGTGGCAACCTTGCCTTTTTTGGTTTCACTCCAAAAGGCTAGGGCAAGGGCAATTACTATTTATTTTATATTTTTTATACTTAAACTATTAATTTTGGCATGAGAAGTGAAAAATAGGACTATGTATTTATATATTTATATATATATATATAATAAAATAAAAATTCTGAAATTTTTGAAATTTTTTGAAATTTTTTGAAATTTTTTTTTAGTTACTGACGTTGTCAATTACGTCAGCAAACCCAGGCAAGATTTGCTTTTGGGCATGCCCAGGCTTGTGGCCCCCATCAATTGCCTGGTCTTGCCTTTGTGCGCTGGAGCCAAAAGATGGGCCTAGGTCCCTTGCTGCCTAAGCAAACCAGCAGCGCTGGACTTGCTCTTATAACACTGGTCGTCTTTCAAAACACCATGACAGTTTTTATATAAACGATCGTCTATTGGGTGTCGTAGTTTAACATAATTGTAGTAGTGAAGTTAAAAATTCTGTTTTAAAACATTGTACTCAAGCATCATTAACAGATAACAAAAAGTTCTTTTAGACAATTTTTGGAATATTAGAACTAAAAATGAAATCATGAGAAGAGGGCATGAAAAACTTATTAAAGCCCTTGAGCCAATAGTTTTTAGCATATAATTATGATTATAAAAGAGCAAAACAACAGCTTTCTTTTTTGCAGGAAAAACATGAAGAGTATGATTCAAAAGTAAGAAATTTTAGAATTATTAATTTAAGATGTCAAAATTTAAGCATGATTTTACAAGAAAAAGAGGCTAATGAGCCCAACTTACTTGAGCATAATAGAGAATTTTCTCTTGAGCAAAAAACTAAAAATTCATATTTTCTTCAAACCTTGACTAGAGAAAGTTATAGATTTTTACCGCAAGATATTAAGAGTTAAATTAAAATATGAGCAAAATACATCTCTTCAGTTGTATTCAATTTTTTTTTTTTTTTTTTTTTTTTTTTTTTTTTTTTTTTTTTAAAAAAAAATAATCAACATATGGTATAACAATTATTACTAAAAAATGTTTTCATTATACTATTTATTTAGCTAGTATTAACATGGTGCAATATGGAGAACTTCATTTAGAGCATAACCAAAAAACTATCACAATTACTTCAAGAATTTACCCGTAAGATATATGTTTTTTACTCTATACTTGACTAGGAAGATATATGCCTTTCACTCTATAACTTATCGATAAGATATAGCATTTTCAGATATGCTTCAATTGAAGAGGTAAAAGTCTCAACAGTCAACAGCTCAAAACTCACGTTACATACAGCCTTTGCGTCGATATCTGTTATTGTTCATGGAATTCAATCTCTCATTTTCTTTACTGGGTTCACAAAGAAGTAGTAGTCAAGACTAATTAATGCTTGACGATGACTAAAAATTGATTTGATGGTGATTTAAAAAATAAAAAATAAAAAATAAAAAGGAAAGAAAGAAGAAATTTACACTGACGACTAAGTTAAGTAAATCCACAAGGACCAAAAAAATGGATATTTTGATTCAACTTTTTTGAAGTCTTTAACAAGACCACAAGTTTGTAAGTCGTTAGCTCCTTTGTGACCACTATTATACTGGTACCATCTTCGAAAAAAACTGAGAAAAAACACTCCTATTCCCTTTACTTTTAACAATTTAAAAGAGCATGTCATCAATCATGGGCTTGGAAACTCTGTGGAAAAATTGAAATGAACTGATGGACAAGATAGAGACAAACTTATTAAGGTTTAGAAGTTGTTCTGCTTTTTCCTAAGATCAATGTAGATAGTACATGCCTGGTGGGAACGCGAATTTTGGATCACACAAAGTTTATATGTATTTATTTGACTTTTCTTGTTCATACGACAAAAAAACTATTATTAGTGGTGAAAATCTGAGCTCATATGGCCTTTTGATAAGCCTCCAAACATCCATCCATGATCAAACAAATTACTTCAAAACATAATCCGATGCAAATATGTTCATAGCATATGATAATTACATTTCTTTCCTTGCGAAAAAAGTACAACTACATCATCGATTTCGCCATCGTCGTTGTTGTCGTCGTCATCATCATTGTTACATAAACTTGACCAAATAATAAGAAGTTGCTAAGGAGGATCATCACTAAAACCTAGCTAGCCATAAACTATATATACAAAACTGTTTCCATCAACTCAATCTTTTTAATTGTCTCCCACACTTTATTCTGTTCTTTATCCACCTTTCAAATCACCACCAATATTGTGAAGACGACCCGAATCACCTTTTCTAGATTATACATATATCCTTTATCCTTTATACGAAGAGGTATTAGCTAGCTTTTTAGTTTCTTCGTCAATGCACAAGTCTTTGCCCCCACTATTGAAATTTCTGTCCAATAAGCTAGCTTTTTGTTAACGGTCAAATTTGAAGAATAGAAATATTTAATAACTATTCTAATCGCCAATTAAAAATTGCCTCCAAAAGAGAGAGGGTATGGTAAAAGAGTTGATCAAAATTCTGGTAACTCTGGTGTGTCCCCATGGCCAGCTCTAATGAAAAGGTCGTACCAAAACTCCATGCCATCATCCATGTTTGGACAAAAAGTAAAACCCAACTCCCCTGAATATTGATCATTTGTGGCCTCTGGAAATTCCAATGGGATGCTGGAGTTATCAGCTGAGAGTACCTCAGACCAGAAACTGTCGTCGATTTCGGGGAATGTTTCCGAAAGCTCCATGTTTTCGCCTTTGATGGTTATCATGTCCTGGTGATTATCATGAGTCAATGCAGCTGAGACTTCTGTGACTGAGGAAACATCACTGGAACTTGAAGATGGTTGTGGAGAATTCATATTTTCTGGCTCAGCAGACTGGCTTGTGACATTGGAAGCACTGCTTGCTGGTGATGAGGTTGAAGTCTGATCTTTGAGTCTTTTCTTCAAGTGGGTGTGCCATACATTTTTTATCTCGTTGTCTGTGCGTCCTGGTAATCTTGCTGCAATTGCTGACCACCTGAAAATCGATGGAGGAAATTAATAAAATTAAATATTTTGCACGAGAGTTTGGCTTTTTTTTATTTTTTTTATTTAATGCAAGTACAAAAATTTATGCTTGATTTTGAATTTGACTGCAACTTGTGACCACATTTTCTGGCTGCATGTGGTTCACTAGGTTTAATTTATTGGGGTGACTTCCAATTAATCTAGAGAGAATCTTTTGATCAGCCCACTGGCTATTCTTTAATAGATATATAGAAACCAGTTGCCTTTGTTTGTGTGTTCGAGAAACGATCGTGGTTTTAATTTCCTTGAAATTGTTGTGGTTAATTCTAGCTAGTCATCATGCCCACTTAATTAAGGGCAAGAAGAGAGGAGTATAATCCTTTACTTCAAAGCAATGTCTATAGCCTAACATCCCACTTGATAAACATATATAGGAACCTAAACCCATAATATCCAGCCAAAATTTAAAAAAAAACAATACCATCATGTAAAGGTTAATTAAAAGCATATTTCTAAATTACCATCTGTGCAGTGTGTGTGAGTTTCGTATGTTATCGCCTCTGTCAATATGAAAGGTCCTGAAAAAACATGTTTCTAAATTAGCTTAATTACAAAAGTTTCATGAAAAATACCTGTTACCGAGCATTTCATGCAACTTAATGATAGCTTCCTCTTCTTCTCTTGTGAAGTTTCCTCTCTTGATATCGGGTCTCAAATAGTTTATCCACCGGAGTCTGCAGCTCTTCCCACATCTCAACAAGCCTGATTAAAGAAATAAGTGGAGAAAAATATGAGTCCAAAGCTCAAATCAAACAGAATTTAGCTACTATTTGTGATCCTGCAATGCACCAAGCTATGTGAAAGAAATGATCTTATTAATCTATGGAGAAAAAACCCCCAGATTTGGAACTTGTACTAATTACCAGCTTGCTTTGGCAGGGCACGCCAGTTTCCATGACCATATTTTTGGATGAAGGAAGCTAGAATTTGGTCTTCTTCAGGCGTCCATGGCCCTTTCTTCAATCCCATCTTCTCACAGCAAGGAGCTCTCACCATCTCTCTCTCTCTCTGCTGAATAATTTGGTCGTCAATGTACACACTACAGCTATATCTTTCAAGGGAGCTAAGCGAAGCTAAGATATAGTAGCTAGTTTGGTTGAGAGTTTGATGAGCTCCGTATTTTTGAGGCCTTGGTGTGGCTATTTATCCTATAAGATCTCCCCTCATACAAAAAAGGTGTATGAATTGGACCAAGACAAAGAAACAATGTATATTCAAAGCGCACTTGCAATTTCCGGGAAGGAGATTAAAATACGAAGACTTTAAGCTTTTCATTAAGAGTGGAGAGACTAATTAAGAGTTGCAGAGATTACAAGGCTTGTCATATAGTGAGTATAGTAAAAGTACACGACCCAGGACGGGCAGCAGACAAAATATCACGCCCATTATCTCATAAATTAATAATAAGAAAATAGTGTGACGTTCGATGGTTGAAGCAGCCAAAGTAACAAACCTTTTCTCTGTAGCTTTGCTGAAAATATTACAATTTTATCTTTTCGTAATTGCAATTTTCTAGTGGATACTTCTTGCCTCCTTTCTTGACAGAATATATTCTTTCTTGCAAATTACGGTTTGATAAATGTGTAAAAATAATTCATAGAAAACACAAAAATAAAAACTTCTACACACATATCATACTGTCATTGACATGAATATAAAAGTATCTACTTACTAGATCTATTTGTTCAATTAATTATTGGCTTATTTATGGATATGCCCTCTATGCTATCAAAATAGACTCAGATTACCACATGTTTTTTGACATGTCTCAATATACCACCTTTACTTTCAATAAGTGTCTCACGTTAGCTATTCCGTCATATTTGAGAGAAATTTTGTTAGCTGATGTGGCCTCGACTTCTTTTCAATCTCTTAACAAGAGAAAGGAAGGGTTAATCATATTAAGAAAAGGGAGGATTTGAAAGAAGAAAGTTAGGTCGGAGAAATTTCATATTTGAGAACCTCCAGATTCCCAAATCTCCCAAATCTAATAAATAGACTAATTGACTTACTGATAAATCACCTCATATTTGAGAAGTTGAGCTTCGTTTCGCATCTTTATTTCTGACAAGTTTTATTCATATATAAATCGGTCAACTCTAAAAAATCTTAAACTAAGTCAACCAATTCACAAATTTTCTTTTCGCCTGACAATCAATTCTCAATAAATAATAATAAAAAATTGAAGTATGATAGTTTTGATCGACTAAGTGTATTTGCACCCATTACTCTGCTCAACACACTCTTTAAATTTAATAACGACAATTCTACTCTTGTTAATTTTTTCTAAGGTAAAAAAATAGTCATGGCATGAGAGACAAGATAGAAAACTCCTCTCTCACGTGCGACAACAATGTATTAGACTAGAAGACATAAAACTACCTATCCTTCTTGTCATGTCTAATGACTTTGGAGGGCAGAAGGGGAAGGGCCTCCCTCTTTCCCGTTGGCCCTCCTTCCTCTTCGTCGGCTCTCTTTTCACGTTTATCATGATTATTAACTTGGCCACAATCATAATAAAACAAATTGGTGAACGTTGTATTAGGGAAACACCGAAGCGGGTGGGGTGAGATAAGTTTTTCATTACTTTTTATATAGGGCCTAGAGTTCATTAACTTTAAAAACATAATACAATGGTAGTAAAATAACAAATCTAGAAATTGTTTTTAGGAAACGAAAATGTATTCAGTAATTTATTAGATGCAACTATATCAACAATGAATTTTGTAGTGTAATTGTAAATCTTCATATGGTTGGTCAAAATCAAAACACAAATCGCAAGCTTTTTCATGAATTCTTATAGTTGAATTTAATTGGAACAGCTAAGGTAAGGATGGTACATGAAAAGTCAACAAGTTTGACTGGTATTCTTCTCAAGGGTCAAAGAAACACGCATGCGTGCGGATGCGCTATTCTCCAATCAGAAACAAGACCAACGAAAAATGATTGGCTGGTCACCTTCTCAAATATGCTTTTTTGTAATCATTAACTTCATAAGAGGATGGCGCGCCACTGAGTCAAAACCCCAGGATTTCAGTGTCTCTAAGACTTCAGAGGCTTCCGTTTTATTTATTTATTTAGAGTGATGATTTCCCCGCTCCAATTTTATCCACTTACACTTCATTTTATAACTAAAAAATGAGTGTAAGTGGATAAAATTGGAGTGGAAAAATCATTACCCTTTATTTATTCTAACAAGTGATATTCTACTTTAAAAACTACAGGAAATGAGATTTAAACTTGGGTGCAGAGTGGATAGCACATCCGCTCTAATCAACTTGGTTAAGTCCATGTCTGCACTTTAAAGGCTCCGTTTGAGTGAAGGGATTTGAAAAAAAATGATTTTAATTTAGCAATAAGGATAATTTTGCTATAAGAATAAGAACCACGTTAAATTGAATGCTCTTTAAAATAACTAGATATATAAATTGTATGCAAAACATAGATTGTAATGATTTAAACAAACAATTTTACCTTATGACGTTATATTAATAATAAGATTTAGAATCGCTTTTTTTTTTTTTTTTTTTTTTGGGGATTAAAATACTCCATCCAAATAAGATTAATACTTTTTTTTTTTATACTTACCAATCACATTATATTATTACATTTATTTTCGAATATCTGTTTTTGAAAAGTATGATTGAATTTTGGAATACTATAGTTGGATTTTAGAAAGTAATTAACATCCTACCCTTGTTGACTTGAAAGAGTTGATCCATATTTAAGCAATATTTGATCTCGTGATTATATATCTTCCATATCATCAAGATTGAAGCACACTATCAAATATGCTCTCTCCCCCACCAGGCCACCAAGTTGGCAATATGAATAATATATATATATATATATATATATATCTCTTAAAGGGCAGATTAAAGATAATCAAAGTATTAATCAAGTTGATTATATATATATAGAAAAACCCAATGTGTTTGGTCAACGGGAAACGTGAAGAATTTTTAAACTTGGTGGTGATTCTAGGCTCTGTGTGGCCAATCTTCAGAGCGAGGGGAGATGCACGTGAACATATTGTCCAATAATAGGTGCGCTTCTTATATTGAAGAAGTCTCATCTCATGCATTCACTGAATTAATTTCGTTCTGGCACCGCCGTCAAAAAAAGAAGAACAAAAACGTTGAATTCGTATGTATCATGGTAGTGGATTAATCAACACGTTTGAAGTGTACTTAGACTGTTAGAAATCCTAATTAAGACTTTGTAAAATCATATCTTACTTGGATTCGTGCCGTGAAGTAATTTCATATAAGTTTCTTTTGTGACTGCTACACATACTATTTTTTGCACTCTAGCACTCTTATGTGCGAGCGTGAATAACATTGTTTGTACCAAATGATTCTTCATTTTAGTGATATTTATTTTTTTAATGTTGGAAGATATATATATATCCAAGTTCACATTCCCATCTCCCATTAATGTTGGAAGAAAATCATAGCATTATACCTGCTAAATCCATAGTCCCTTACTAACTAAACCCAAACCCAATGCAACTAGACATTTTCCCCTCTTTAGAACTCCAAACTATGTCGAAGGGAGCCAACTCCTTGTGTATGTGGGCCAAAATATGGTGATTATATCATAGGCGGCGACATTGTTTCACGGTGACTGCTTCAAAATCACAAAATAAACTAACAATCTTGAGGAAAAAGAGAGGGAATGAGAAAAGAGTTGATGAAGGAAGTGTTGGCGTGACTTGTGGATATTGACTTACTTTCCTTACACACCAAGAATTCCTATTATAATTATAATTGATTTACTTTAATTCTTGATTTCCTATTGTAAATAGATTTAGGAATTTATTATTTACTTACCCATTCAGGTTTCGTTGTATTATAAATATGACCTCCTACAAGGAGAAGAATACACAGAAAATTCCCATAAACAAATATTCTCTCATAGTTTTTATATTTTAGCATGGTATCAGAGCGGCGATTTTGGAATTGCTGACTCTAGTTTCACACCCCCGCCACCGCTATGGGGGTTGGTGATTTTTTCATCCCTCATGGAGGTAGCACCACCGACTCCTTCTCTCCTTCTCAACCAACCATAGCCGAGTTGAGTGCCTAGATGGCTCAACTCCTACAGATGCAGACTTTGGCCCCGAATCTAATCCTGAATCAGGATCCTCTTTTGACGACCCCGACCCTGACCCCGACTATGACGACGACGATGACCTCGACTCTGACTCCGACTCCGACAACGACCTCGACCCCCACTTCGATGATGACTCCGACCCCGACCCCGAATTTGTCTTTGATTCAGACCCCGATCCCGACTCCGACCCCGACTCAGGCTCAGATCCTGATCCGAATTCCTACTAAACCTATATCCTATACATCTTTCGCTGCACAGATTATGACTTCTCGACTAACGACCCCGACACATGGACCAGATTGCGAATATTGTGGTGATCCAAGACACACTCGTGAGATTTGTTTTAAATTGCATGGCTATCCCGATTGGTGGACTACTCTTAAAGATCGAGGACAACACAATACGACCAGTAATAGTACTGGTTATGGATTCCATACTTCCGCTAAGATTGATTCCAGGAGTTGGATAATTGATTCCGGTGCAACTGATCATATGACGTTTGATCCTGATGATTTTCTGAATACTACACAACCTCGACGAACCTGTATTGCAAATGCCAATGGTGTTACTTATCCTGTGACAGGGACTGGCACTGTTGCACTCTCATCCTCTCTCACACTGTCTAATACTTTACTTGTTCCATCTTTATCCACTAAATTGTTGTCCGTTAGTCAGCTTACTGAACAATTGAATTGTTGTGTACTCATTTACCCGAGTTTTTTGTTTGCTTCAGGATATTCACACTAAGGAGATTCTTGGTCGTGGTACTAAGAGAGGGGGGTTATATTATGTCGATGACTTCAGTCCTGGCATGGCTAACAGTGTGACGCATCCCTTTGATAGCAAACAAAAGCAGATCTGGTTGTGGCACCGTCGATTGGGACATCCGTCTTTTAGTTATATGAAGCATCTTATACCAGATTTATTCTCAGGTTTCAAGGACTTCGACTTCACATGTGATACTTGTATTTTGGCCAAGAGTCACCGTGTGCCCTACCCGTTGAGTATGAACAAGTGTACTACTCCATTTACGTTAATTCACTCTGATGTCTGGGGACCTTCACCTATCACTGCTCCTTCTGGTGTTCAATGGTTTGTCACGTTCATAGATGATTGTACACGGATGACATGGCTTTATTTGCTGAAGAATAAAAACGAAGTGTTTTCTCGGTTTCAGTTCTTCCACAAACAGATGAAAACTCAGTTTAATACTCAAATCCAAATTCTTCGCTCCGACAATGGTGGAGAATTTGTCAATCATGACTTTCAGACTTACTTCCAACAACATGGAATTATCCATGAGACGACTTGTCCTCAGACACCGCAACAAAATGGTGTTGCTGAACGAAAGAATCGACATCTTCTTGAAACCACTCGAGCACTTCTGATTGGAGCTCATGTTCCTCGCCATCACTGGGATGATGCTATTGTCACTGCAGTTCACCTAATCAACCGCATGTCTTCTGGTGTATTGACCTTTAAAACTCCCTTACAGGTGCTTGCGCAACACAAACCTCTGCCCTCTGTTTTGGTACTCACACCCCGAATCTTTGGATGTGTGGCTTTCGTTCATCTCCACAAAAATCAACGTAGCAAACTTGATCCCTGTGCGCTTCGTTGTGTTTTTGTGGGTTATGTCACTCATCAGAAAGGCTACCGTTGTTATCACCCTCCTACCCGACGTACCTATGTCACTTTGGATATGACCTTTCTGGAATCTGAGCTGTTTTTCCATGACCTATCATCCAATTCTACGCTTCAGGGGAAGATACGAAGTGAAAAGCAGAATTGGAGCAACTTAGAAAACGAAGAAATTCTCCTATGTACAGAAATGATTGATCATCCTGAGTCTAGAGCACAAGATTACTTTATGCCGAAAAGTGACCAATTGCCCATTCATAGCAATTAATTACCTGACCCACCTGATCCATACGAAGATATTTCTGATCCGAGTCTCACACCTACAGACAATATAGAACAACAAGATGAAGACCCCCCTCTAACTCAACAGTACCAACAGACCAATCTCCTGAGAATATCCTTGAGGTAACTACTCCTACTAGACTTGTGCATTTAGATGATAAAACTATTGGATATCAATTACCTTTCAGGCAAAATCGTGGGAAGCCACCAAACCGCTATTCACCTTATATTGGCAAAACATCCAAGTATCCAATTGCAAATCATGTATCCACTAAGAAGCTGTCTGAACCACTCAAGGCTTTTGTGCATCAGTTGTCTGCTATCCATATTCCAACCAAGGTCTCTGAAGCATTGAAAGATCCTAAGTGGCTCCAAGCTATAAAAGAGGAGATGAAAACTCTTGAGAAAAATCAGACTTGGACATTGGAGACTATACCACGAGGAAAAAAGACCATCGGATGTAGATGGGTGTTTACTATAAAACACAATGCAGATGGGTCTATCGAGCGATACAAGGCAAGATTTGTGGCAAAAGGGTACACACAAACCTATGGTATAGACTATGAAGAAACCTTTGCTCCAGTTGCAAAGTTAAACACCGTCAGAGTCTTATTGTCCCTTGCAGTTAATTTGGATTGGTCACTACACCAGTTTGATGTAAAGAATGCTTTTCTACATGGCGAACTCACGGAGGAGGTGTACATGGACATTCCTCCTGGTTATAATACTACTCAGACTGGAACAGTTTGCAGGTTACGAAAAACATTGTATGGGTTGAAACAGTCACCACGTGCATGGTTTGGACGGTTCACCATGGCAATGAAGAACAATGGTTTCAAACAGTGCAACTCCGATCATACTCTGTTCTTGAAACATCGGAAAGGGAAGGTAACAGCATTAATAATTTATGTTGATGATATGATTATTACTGGGAATGATAAACAGGAAATATCATAGCTACAAGACTATTTGGCTACAGTGTTTGAAATGAAGGATCTAGGTGGACTCAAGTATTTCTTGGGAATTGAGGTGGCTCGATCGCAGCAAGGCATATTTCTCTCTCAAAGGAAATATGTCTTGGACTTGTTGACAGACACAGGAATGCTAGATTGCAAACCTGCGGACACTCCTATTGTTCAGAATCATCATCTTGGAGAATATCCGGATCAAGTTCCAACTAACAAAGAAAGATACCAAAGGTTAGTGGGAAGATTGATTTATTTGTCACATACTCGACCAGACATTGCTTATGCAGTGAGCGTTGTCAGTCAATTTATGCACTCTCCAAGTGAAGACCACATGAATGCAGTTCTTCAGATACTTAGATATTTGAAGTCTGCACCTGGAAAAGGACTTATGTTCTCAAAGCATGGTCATCTAAATATTGATGGTTATTCAGATGCAGATTGGGCAGGTAATGTAACAGATAGAAAATCCACATCGGGTTACTTCACATTCGTGGGAGGTAATTTGGTGACATGGAGAAGCAAGAAACAGAATGTAGTAGCTTTATCCAGTGCAGAAGCCGAGTTCAGAGGCATGACTAAAGGGATTTGTGAACTTCTTTGGTTAAGAAAGTTGCTTACTGAACTTGGGTATAAATCTACATCTACAATAAATCTCTTTTGTGACAACAAGGCTACTATAGCCATTGCACAGAATCCGGTTCAGCATGATCGTACTAAACATGTTGAGGTTGATCGACACTTCATCAAACAGAAGCTTGAGGCTAAAGTGTTTCAGTTTCCTTTTGTGAAATCCGAGGATTAATTGGCGGATATTTTGACAAAGGCGATTTCCAGTAAAGCATTCCACAATTCACTAGATCAGTTGGGCATTGGCGACATCTATGCACCAACGTGAGGGGGAGTGTTGGCGTGACTTGTGGATATTGACTTACTTTCCTTACACACCAAGAATTCATATTATAATTATAATTGATTTACTTTAAATCTTGATTTCCTATTGTAAATAGATTTAGGAATTTATTATTTACTTACCCATTCAGGTTTCGTTGTATTATAAATATGACCTCCTAGAAGGAGAAGAATACACAGAAAATTCCCACAAACAAATATTCTCTCATAGTTTTTATATTTGAGCAAGAAGAAGGAAGGAGGTAAGGAAGGAGGCCGCAAACCCCCAAAAGAGAACTACTAAGACTTTTTTTCCTTAAGTTTTCTGAAGAAGTGTTTAATAATTCGTATTTTAATTTTGACCAATAAATTCAGACATGAAAAAGTATATACCAGGTGAAAAAGAAAAGTGAGGCAATGTTGGAAAGGCAACATCGATGGTCGCGATACATTGAATAAGAATATGAGAGCAACATAAAAAGTTGACTTGACTAGCTATTTATAATAAATAAATAAAATTTTATCCGCCAATTTATTTGAATTACTATCTCATAGACTCGTAGAACCCTGCGGTCCCATGCTTGAAAAAAAGATGTTTAAATTTAATTGGTTTAATTTCATTATCATTGACTAATCCAAGAACAATTTTAGTCCATTTTAATATGCACTATTAATTTTGATGTTGCCCTAGTCGTCCCACTTTCTTCCATTTATTCACGTCGACAAAACATTAACTCAATTTTATATTCGTTACTCCTTCTTGGCCAGTTATTTTCATCATAATGGACTTGTACAATTGTTTAGTATGCATGTGTCTCCTCCATCTTTTCCGAGAAGATACTGAAGATGGAGGAGAAAAAATTAGCTCCAATGAGTATCTCACATTTTTCATTATGCGCTAGTAACATGATATGAATGTGTGAGAGATACAAGTTATATAATTGCAACGAAAGCACGTACAGGTTTTGTCATGATGTATGAGTTTTTTTTTTCTTCAGACATTTGAGATCGTTTAATAGCCCAAAATTAACTTTTAGTGTTATTTCAATTTTTAGGAAACTTCGTTAAATTTTTATTTTATTTCCTTTTAGATACCTAGGGTTTCTAAGGTATTTAAACTAATTTTAAACATGTAGCTAGGGTAATGTTATGTTATTTCATATTATCAATAAACTTGGGGTTTTCTCATTCTTCCTGGTGGATTCCAGAGTTGTGTGTTGTAGGCTAACATTTTAACCAACCTAAGTGTCACATTGCGTCAACAAGTGATAGTCTAAACTATAAGGAGGGGTTTTTCATGGGGTTCGAGATTGAGATCATTGATCTGCAAATTAAGGTTTTTTTTCCCACTGGACTAGACTCTGTTGACATAATAGAGATGTTTTTAATTATCTTTTTCTCATATTATTTTGTCATCATACATCTTTATTACATAATCTCATGTGAATCTCATGTCCTAGCGCAGTAAAATACACATCAACCATATTGTAGTTAGAATTAAGAGCAAACAGTTTCTTTAGTTGGACTTTTTTCCTCAACTCTTCTTCCTCTAATTGGTAGTAACCAGAATTAATTAAAATAATTAATGTGATGCATGCATTCACCTTTTTGAAAGGAAAAAAAAAGATTGAAGAAAGAAAAATTATTTCGTGTATCTTAGGTTAGATAGTTTGCACTATCTTAAGTTGATTGGCCATCCATCCCATCATTGAATCTTTAATGGATGGCTTTTCTATGGACAAGGACTTACTGCTTATTTTCTCCCCTTTGTATCTAATACGCAACTTCCACCTCAGATTGACCCAGCAATCGTTAAACTTTGCCTTGCCCTGGGTCTGGTCGTTGGTGATAGGGCAGGTAAGAAGTTTGGGGCATGCAATGGTAGTAGGACTTGTAAAGTATTTGAATGAAAGTGAGATTATTGTTGTTTTTTAGGAAGAAGGGAGATGTGCCATTTTCAGTCAATTTTTTATATTTAAAACGGTTGTAGCAGATAAGCTAATATTAACCAAACCATTTTTGTTTGTATTATATATGTATGTTCAAAATTGGTTGTTGTTCCGCAAATGTGTACCACAAGTAGTTGCAGAAAAAGATGACTATATATATATATCAACTCTGGGAGCATTCTTTTTTCTTAATCTCTTAGATTGCATTGGTCTTTTTTGACTAAATGAAAATTATTTCGCCAATACTGCTCTGGAATCTCTTGATTTTCAACGATCTCATGTGTCTACCGCCAACTAAACCCTAATGACTCATTCAATTTTTTCAATGCATTCACTGTCATTATAACTTAATATTAGCTTTAAGAAGACAAGAGACTTGTAACTTAAGTGGTGAAAAATATTTATTTTGCATCCGAAGTTCTAGGTTCAGTTCCCCTCTCCCAATATCGCTTGTATAAATTTATTTTGAACATGCTTTTTTCTTCTTCTTTAATTTACAACTTAAATCGATGGGTTCGTTTGATGTCTATTATTCGATTGTTGAAAAAAAAGAGACTCCCATCCCACGTGTTTTAGCATTTTGTGAACTAATCCAAAAATCCAAGCAATGCTTTTTCATTGTTAATTGCATAGAGACTTGTTAATTAATAACAAGTGTACGTAATTTTATAAAAAGACTTTATCCAAAGGATGTTAAGATTATTCTACAGACACTTCAATTAATAACAAGTGTACGTAAAGACTGTATCCAAAGCACATGTATATGTGTTAAGAAAATTCTACACCTAAACAGAAGAAAAATCAAGCCACTCTCTGCAGTGGCGGAGCTAGGATTCTTAGCATGGAGGGGTCAAAATTTCAACATCACTTTCACATAGATTTTTCACCTTCAACTGGAAGGGCCATCACTAATCTAATTGCAGTAATTATATTGCTATAACATATATTTTATAATATATTACAATAGATTTAAAATTAGATAGGGGGCCAGGGTCATGACAGGTCTGGCTATGGCTCCGCCCCTGACTCTCTGTCTTGAACAAGTTAATAAAAGACTTGGTATTTGTATGTAGTATTATTACTATCTAGAATCTAAACATGAAAAGAAGATAACAATGTGATAAAATACAGATTGTGTTTGGTTGCAGAAATGGAACGGCGAATGAAATAATCAAGAAAGGAATGAAATAAAATAAAGGAATTAACTAATTCCAGAAAATTGTTGTTGTTGGCAATCAGGAATAATCATCCTGTACTTCTCCTCTCTTATTTTCTGATAACGGAAAAGTGCAACTCCTTCCATCTTTCTTTTAGAGGATAAATATTTTGGAGTGTTAATAACATATCCCTTCTATTTGTTTGTGGAATACAAGCCTCAAGCATGGGGCTTTGGTTTTCAGCTCCCTTCTTGTTGGGTCATGTTCGAGGTTTTAGACTTAGGTCACATTTGGTGGGTTTGACTGGAAGGATCCCGTGCCTTTAGATCTGAATTGTTCTATTAATCTAACGACTCAAGATATGACACATCAATTTTTAACTTTTGACACCTATCTATTTAATCAAAAGAATTATTAAAACAAATTTAAAAAAATAATGAAGAAAAAAATTTAAAAACCTAGCAACCATCCTACATACCCCAGAGAGAGAGAGAGAGAGAGAAGGGGAAAGGAGGGGGGGGGGGGAGTTGCGATTTGACTGGGGTGGGATGGAGCATGTCGTGATTGGGCTGCTGATAGGTTTTATGGTTTTTTTTTCTTTATTTTAATTTATTTAGACTTAACGGTGTTAAGCTGGAGTTAATTATATGGATGGGTGTCAAATTTAAAAATTTGATGTGTCATATCTTGAATCATTAGATTATTAAAATGGTTCAGATTGAGTGAAATGCAGGTAAATGCAAAGTGGCTAAATGTAGAGGCTCGAGATCCTGGACTGGAATTGACTATTTCACTTAAAATGAACAAAAGTTTTAACTGTTGTTTGGTGTGTGGAAACTTCACTCATTAAATTGAATAACAATCTAATATATTGTGTTTTATAAGTCTCACATATACACGTGAGACTCATAAGGACTGGTTTTGGAGTCGACTCCAATTCAATCGAATCCGGGCCACTAAATGAGGCCTGGGTTTAGTGTGCATGGCTTGGTTAAGGGCTGAGGCCTTAGGTAGCCAGCTACGTGTTTAAGGATTGGGTCTAAGGGCTTAGAATATGGGCCTCAAATTTCGGTCCAGGTAGGGTTTTGTGGCTGAAGCGTTGGGTTCTAGATTTCGGGCTTATCTGATGTTGCTTTTTGTTGTGGGCTTGGTCTCTTTGTTTGGATTGAAGTTATCTGTTAGGTTTAGGGTTTTGTAGCTATTGGGCTTTCTCCAATGGATTTCCCAAAATGGTAAATTCAAGGCAGGGTCCTAATCAAAAGGGTATAAATTGCTGCTCATTTCTCCTCTTCAACTCTTCTGAAAACCCTAGCCGTTCCTCTCTCTTTTCTGCCATCCCCTCTCAGCCATGGCCTTCGTGAAATCTCTGAAATCCAGGGCCTACTTCAAGCGGTTCCAGGTCAAGTACAAGAGAAGAAGACAGGGAAAGACCGATTACCGAGCCAGAATCCGCCTCATCAACCAAGACAAGAACAAATACAACACACCCAAGTACCGGTTCGTCGTCCGATTCACCAACAAGGACATCGTCGCCCAGATCGTCTCCGCCAGCATCGCCGGCGATCTGGTTCTCGCCTCCGCCTACGCCCACGAGCTTCCTCGCTATGGGCTCAAGGTGGGCCTCACCAACTACGCCGCGGCCTACTGCACCGGTCTTCTCTTGGCTCGCCGAGTCCTGCACAAGCTCGAAATGGCCGACGAGTATGAGGGCAACGTCGAGGCCACCGGCGAGGACTATTCTGTGGAGCCATCGGAGAGCCGGAGGCCATTTAGGGCTCTGCTCGATGTGGGTTTGATCAGAACCACAACTGGGAACCGTGTGTTTGGTGCTTTGAAGGGAGCTCTGGATGGTGGGCTTGATGTGCCTCACAGCGAAAAGAGGTTTGCTGGGTTTTCGAAGGACAACAAGCAGCTTGATTCTGATGTCCACAGGAAGTACATCTATGGCGGGCATGTTGCTGCTTACATGGGGATTTTGAGTGAGGATGAGCCTGAGAAATTTCAGACCCATTTCAGTGGGTACATCAAGAAGGGCGTTGAGGCTGAAGGGATTGAGGAGATGTACAAGAAGGTTCATGCCGCCATTCGTGCCGATCCAACCGTGAAGCTGACTGAGAAGAAGGAGGTGAAGGAGCACAAGAGATTCAATCTTAAGAAGCTTACTTATGATGAGAGGAAGGAGAAGTTGATTGAGAGGTTGAATGCTTTCAACTCAGCTGCTGGGGATGAAGATGACGATGAGTGAGTGTGGATGGTGCCCAGTGGGGGTTTGGGGCTTGAGATTTAGTTGTTTGTTTTTGTTATGTAGACAGCTTTTCAATTCTTTACTCTTAAGATGCATTTTGATTTCTGTTTTTATGTTTCGAAGTCTTTTTTGGGTGTTTTTGCTGTTTGAGACAATCCTAGCTAGAAATATGCAATTGGAAGTTTTGAATAGTGTTGTTGTTATTCAAGGCCCCTAAACCCTAGTTTTATTTCAAGTGTTGAACTTTGATTTCCATGAATTAGTAGCACCTCACAGGAAATGACCCACAATTGAAACTAAAATGAAAAACACTAGTGATTTTGGTTGCAGAGGTTTTTAGATATATACAAAAAATTATGGAGTGAAAAGCATTCAAGATTTTCATTGCAGATCCTCCAGGAAAATCTTTGCCATCAAAATCTAGTTTTACTTGAAGGTCTGAGAATCTTCCATTCCTTCAATGCTGTTCATCCCTGTTTCTTGATAGCTTCAGAAATCAGTTTTTGAGGGGCTGGTTTGAAGATTAGTTATAGGCAGATAATTAGATTGTTCCCCCTAAAAGAACTGGGTTATGCTAATTTTGATGTCCGTTAAACAGAACATTTATGTTTCTGCGATACATGATGATCCAACCAAATGGTAACCTTATACTTGGTGGAGCAACTAGGATCCTAGGCCCTTCAAACGTTATCTTCATGTAACCGGCTGCATCAACCTTAACTAATGGTGACAGGCCCTTGGTTTAGCGTTTGGGCTTCGTAGCTTTGTTGTTTGTCCGGTGTTATCTTGGATTAAATGGGTTTCTAGCCTTTTATGGGCTGTAGTTTGGGGTTTCTCTGTCTTGGATTGTATGATTGGCCCTTTTTCTTTTCACCACATTGGTTTAGGTTGTATCCTTATTATTTGTAACTAGAAAAGCTTATGCATAGTTTATACAACCATCCAGTATATAATGATTGATGGTCCACAAATGCTACATAAATATTGCCAACGAGGTCTGGCTCAATGAAAAAGAGTCATGATTTATAGACTAATGATCTCAAATTTGAACCTCCACAACACCCTTGTAGTGTGCGTGAAAAACCCTCATTCTTTTATAGTTGAGACTACTGCTTAGATTTAAAATAAATAAAAAATCAAGCATCAACTCTGTAACTATAGTAAATTAATTTTGGGTTTATCACAGCATATAGTCAACGGTCACATATGCTCTCACGTAAATGACCTAATACATGTTGTTTATATATGATCTAATACATGTTGTTTATATATGATCAAATTTTTGGTGTGACAATAATACCGTTACATTGTATTACTAATTCACCTATAATAATATAATATAAGTAAAAACACATGTCCTACATATATTATAACAGGTAAATTGCAAATGCTACTTGAGAAAAATTTAGTAAACCTAATCCGATAGGACCACATCAATGAATTCTCCTCTAACACGGAATGGCGGGTCGTTGTCTGGAAAAAGAGTAATACATTACTTAATATTTAGACCGAGATACGGAAAACACACATACGAGACGCGCCTCTTTTTCACTTTCCCCTCCTCAAAACGTGAATCTTGGTTCTTTTCCCTTCTCTCCGTTTGTTCTTCAGTGGCTCCCTATTCTCCTTCTTTCTTCTCCATAAGCTCCTTCCTCTCTCTCTCTCTCTCTCTCTCTCTATCTGCCTCCGTAACAGTTATGGCTTTCAGAGGAGTAAGTTTCACCTGTTACTTGTTCAGATCTATTTATAATTTTTTTTTCTCTCTCTTCTGGGTTTATAGATTTGGGTTTCTGTTTTTTGGGTGCTTTTAAAGTTCTGATTACTGGGTTTTGGTTTGCTTTTGGCAGCCGATAAACACATGGGCTTGATTTTTATCTGCGAACTCATTTTCTCTTTGTTTTCTGTCGAAATTTAAGATTTTTTGTTTTGTTTTGTCGCTTATCGATTTACTTGCACTTATTAATGGCGTTAGTTAGTAATCTGCTTGTTGCAAAGCTTTTCTCTTCTGGGTTGTTTGTACTTCACTTTAATTTATTAAGAAGAAATTTAAGAAATTTTTTTGTGCTAAAAGTCCAGTTTATTCTTTTTCGTACACTGGATATATAATGGTGGCTGTAACTTCTGTTCTTACTTTTGTCGTAGCAATCCATTTTCTTGAACAAATTTGATGGCTTTATTAGAATTTATATAAAGGCAGTATCTGGTTTGTGGATGTGGGTGTCCGAATCTGACAAAGATGTGATTCCTTTCGTTGCATGTTATGGAGACATGGGACTTGGACTTTGAATTGGATTATCAGTTTTTTAATTTGGGTTTGGTGGCTTTGGAGTGATCATGGGTTTTGTTCTGTTGGCTCCAAATATTAAATATGAAATTCAGTATCCACAATTGGAATTACAAATTCAAATGTTGTTATGGGCCATCAATGTCTGTGTAATTCCAAATGGCAACTTTCAAGTTTGGGAAGGATTAAGCATATGTTTTATTTAATCCTGTATAGCGTCCTGGTGCTTGTTCTTCTTGGACGGGTTTGTTTAACGATATCTTGAAGTGAAATTCTGATTTTATTATGCTCTGCAAAAATGACAACTGGTAGTTAATGCTGGTTGGAGCAAGTATTTAACACTGGGTTTTCGTTTCAGGGAAATGCTTCATCAGGCATGGGTGTTGCTGAGCACTGCAAAAACACATTCTTGGAACTGCAGAGGAAGAAGGCTTATCGCTATGTGATTTTTAAAATTGACGAGAAGAAAAAAGAGGTTGTGGTTGAAAAGACTGGAGGTCCAGCTGAAAGCTATGATGATTTCACTGCTTCAATGCCTGAGAATGACTGCCGATATGCAATTTATGACTTTGATTTTGTCACTTCCGAGAATTGTCAAAAGAGCAAGATCTTTTTCATTGCATGGTTAGTTTCTTTTGTACGGTTACTTTTTCTGATTCAAAATGCAGTTTAAATTGCCAATCGAAATAATTGATGCTAGTGACTCTTCTTTTGGTTAACTGTGTTTTATTCGAGATGATGCTGTGTTTTGACCTTCTCTAATTGCAATTGTCCTTTGGAAAGTTTGTCACATAAGTAGGTGAATGCTCCCCCTGGACCAAATTATGATGGCAAACATAGCGATGAGTTTCATTTTCCACTTGCTTTACTTCTTAAGCATTTGGTGAGGATCGTTTTTGTGTTGGTATATTGGAGAATTTTTATAGTTTGCTTGGTTTTTGAATTGGAAGCTGCGGTTAATGTAGCCTAGAACACTTTTGGATCGAGTTCAGCTTAATTGCTCCTTGCTGAGCTCTTTTTCAAGAATTGTTTCCACCTATTTTCATCATCATATCCCACTTGGTTTATGTGAAACTTGAATAAAAACTATGGATCTTGTTGATGATTTGGGTCTCGTTGTGATCTCTATGTGGTTGTGTTTCTACTATTTTCTGTATGATACTGCTTTTCTCCCCCCTTTTGAGTTGCTATTGGCTTGCCATTTCAATTTTGATGTGATACTGATGCTTCCTTTTCCAGGTCACCCTCTGTGTCACGGATCCGTGCCAAGATGCTCTATGCAACATCAAAGGACAGGTTCAGGAGGGAGCTGGACGGTATCCATTATGAAATCCAGGCAACTGACCCAACCGAGATGGAACTAGAAGTCCTTAGGGACCGTGCACACTGAGCACTTGTTTTAAAAGAGTTAGGTATTTTAGAGAAGCACCTAGGCTTCTTTTGGAACTCGAGGGAATTACTTTTCTGGTCTGAATATGTGCATTATATGTTCCTTTCAGAAAGTAGGTATAGTTTAATATAATTAATAATCAGCACCTGGGAAGGCTGATTAGGGGCTCTGATTATGATCTCAATGACACCGGAATATGAGCTTCCTTATTACCATGATGCTTCTCAGGTGACATTGGATATGGTAATGGATGATGATAATTTGACTCATGTTCTATGGAATAGATATTCATACTCTATCGGGGATGTCTCTCCTTGCATTGCATTTACCACTTATCATCATAGTACATTTTATCATCATAGTACATTTTAGTTTTGCAACGAGTACTAAAAAGCCGAATGGATCGGTTATGAATTTTATGACATTTGTTCGTGATAGTTGAAGGGATCTATTTGCTGCTACAGAAATTTGTCCGAAACAATAATAACCCATTTGGTATTGTTTCATTGCTCTTCGTTAATCAATTTACCTTTTGAATTTGCGGCAACTTGGGGCAAGATGGGTCACCTAAGAGAAACCAACAACACGAAGCTGAATGTTATAGATGGCCTCCTGTTTTCTAGCTTTCATGTGTTTTAATGCAAGTTTAGCTCAGTTCTTGAATGGTCCCCGGGCATTATGGAAGCTTTGATATAATTAGACTGTCTCCATAAACGAGTCAAATTAAAATTAAAAATCAGATCAACTATGTTACAAGTCAGGGATCATATTGGTTGTCTTGTTGTTTTGCTTTCTGATGCCTTGTAACCATGCTCAAGCATCAGACCATTTGGTACAAGGTTGGATTTCAGGCACATCACATGGTGTGAAACGGTTTGGTGATGCAGCCTAAATTTTGATCCAACAGTTAGTTAAAATGGTTTTGTGCTCAAAGAGAACTAAATTAAAAAAAAAAAAAAAAAAAAAAAAAAAGGACAAGCAAATGCAGATAAGAATAATTTCAAGGCTTAACCCAGATGATCCTTTTGCCTAATTTCTCTTGGTACATCAAGCTTTTATCAATTTGGTTAGACAGAACTTTTAGAATTGAGGATACTTGGTAGGTATTCTTGTTTTTTCGATGCTAAAATGGTAGAAGATGAGCATGATCTGCATGCAAAAGGACAAACCAATTAATACTTTACGGAAAGTCCGTGTTTTCTCTTCCCCGTCAAAATGAGGCTAAACAACATTAAAGAAAGTGGTAACAAAAGCAAAACCATTTCTTAATTTAGAAACGAAATCAAGATAATTTGCAAATGTTTGGAAGTTTGGTCAAATCAAAAGTTCTAAAACATGTAATGCTGTCTTTGAACTTCAAAGGATTTTCAGGACTCTTTGGTTGGTCTTGCAATTCTGAAGGACCAAAAGGTAAGGTTAAAAAGGCTGTAGGACCCTGTAGGTGCAAATGTTAAAGGGAGGCCTAACAAGACCTTTAGCCTTATCTTTTTTACCAGTGGGGTACACAAAGAAGACAAGAAATCGTCGTCTACCATAATCACTGTCATTATCTCCACGTGATGTTACGTTAATGGGATAATCATACAGTCACGTAAAGCCATTTCTTTGATTCACAGTATTGACCACCTCTCTGCACAAATTGTACACAAGATAAAGCTTTTTTTGTTTATTTATTTGTGCACTATTTTCTTTTCCCATGTCCAGGAAATATGGGAAAAGTATGCATCCTTAATATTTGATTTTGGGTTCTTAGCCAAGTTGTGGGTATTTGAGATCTTTCTGGATAATCCAGAAAAAGAGAATTGGGTATTGTTTAAAGCCCTCTGTATGGTTGTTTCTATTTTTCTTTTTCCAAAATTATATTCTTTATTGCGTATGAATAAGTAATTATTTTTTTTTTTTTTTTTTTTTCAGTCATCATTGAAAATCTAATCTTCTATTGCAGGTGGAATTGTGTCTAACGACAACAAAACACCAAATGCAATGAACTGTTCTTTGAATCTTCTTGAGTAAGTGTTTGCCACTTTGGGTTGCGTTTTTTTCTACTCTTTAAAAGTTGTCTGCTGGGTATTGGCGATTTTATTTTGTGGAGTTCTGTTGTTTGGTTGATGACTTCACGTTGATTTTTACTTTTTCAGTTGGTGAAACATATAGGGAAGGCTCAGTTGGTCCACAGATAGGTTGGGGAACAGTAAAATTTCTTTGACCCAGAACATCTTGATAGGCTGGCCTTTTTGGGTCCTTGGTAGTTCAAAATAATCTTCACTTCCCAGGTTCAGCTGCGGAGAATTATTTCCAGATCTTTCCCTTGAATGGGCAAAGTTTTTTGCTGTCGTTCTACTGGCAAAAGCTGCAGTTTGTGATTGTAAGTTGCTTTATGGTTTTCTTTGATTGAGGACCTTCAGTCTGATTTCTGGGATCTGTGGCTACTGGTACTGGCTAATGAGTAGAGGAAGGAGGAAGAGAAATTTTGGAGACTTTTATAAAACTTGATACTGAAATTTGATCCTGAAGAAACTGAATTGCAAGATGGGTAGCAACAAGACTATAGTTTGGTTTAGAAGGGACCTCAGGATTGAGGATAATCCTGCCTTAGCTGCTGCTGCTAGGGATGGTAGCGTCTTCCCTGTTTATATATGGTGTCCTCAAGATGAAGGACAATTTTACCCGGGTCGAGTTTCGAGGTGGTGGCTAAAGCAGTCTCTTGCTCACTTGGACCATTCCCTGAGATCCCTTGGGGCTGAACTTGTGCTAATCAGAACCCAGAGCACTCTTGCTGCTCTCTTGGAGTGCATTGAAGCCATTGGAGCTACAAAAGTAGTATTCAACCATCTTTATGGTATGTTCTGGAGCCAACCCTCCAAGTTGTTTCAGTCAACTGATATAACTTTGATTTTCTAAAAGCATAGTGAAGATCTAATTTTCATTCATTTCTGATACCTTATTTCGTTTGTTCTCTCAATATTTTTGTTTATGTGACTTAATGCCCCTCTGTGAGAGACAGAGAGAGCTCAAGGTCCATCATTCGTTCTGGATTTCTATATATTGAATTAGAAATTTCAGTCCTTCTCTGGATGTCTATATTTGTTTTTTGTTTTAGGGTTGTAGAGGATGATTGTGGCATCCTTATGCTTTACCCCTGTGCAGTTGTAACTGTTAAGTTAACATTGATCCCAAAAGCTAAGGTGTTAGCAAATTGACCAGTATAACATACACCACAACTAATGGTTATTTTTCAGCTCGACTAAAATGAAGATTTCTCTTGTGATATCAATGACATTTCACAAATTTCACGCACGAAATGAGGTCAAAGATTTTGTTATCTTATAGTTGAAGGCACATGTCACAAATCAAATTGAAAATGATTTTATTTAGTTGGCAATCAGCGTTGTGCTGGAGAACAGAGCCCTTATCTGTCATGCATGCTAGGTGTGTTGATGCTTCTTGCAAATTGCTTCAAGGTGTTTCGTTTCTTTCCAATTGTAAATATACTATTGCTTTTCCTTCCCAGATCCTATTTCACTTGTTTGTGATCACAACATCAAAGGAAAGCTGGTGGAGCTAGGCATTTCTGTGCAAAGCTACAATGCAGATCTGTTGAATGAGCCATGGGAAGTATATGATGCAAGAGGGCAAGCTTTTACAACCTTTGAGGCGTACTGGGACAAGTCCTTAAACATGCAATGGGAACATGTCACACTCCTTCCTCCATGGAAATTGGTGCCAGCAACAGGTACATTTCGACTTTCTGAGTTTATTTTGTGTGTGTGTGTGTGTATTTGCTGGGAAAGAAACAAATAAAGAAGACAAATTTATTTCATTTGACAGGAAATGTAGCAAAATGTTCAATTGAGGAATTGGGTCTTGAAAATGAAACAGAAAAATCTAGCAATGCCCTCTTAGCAAGAGCATGGTCTCCTGGTTGGAGCAATGCCGATAAGGCTCTAAGTGAATTTTCTGAGTTGCACCTGCTTCAATATTCAAAGAACAGGACAAAGGTTGGGCAAAACTCTACATCACTTTTGTCCCCATATCTTCATTTTGGAGAACTGAGCGTGAGGAAAGTTTTCCAGTTAGCTCGAATGAAGCAGATACTGTGGGCAAAAGAAGGGAACTCTATAGGGGTTGAGAGTGTGACTCTTTTCCTGAGGGCCATTGGGCTTAGAGAATACTCACGGTATCTTTGTTTTAACTTTCCGTTCACTCATGAGAGACCACTGCTCAGCAACTTGAATTTTTTTCCTTGGCAAGCTGACCAGAACAATTTTAAGGCTTGGAGACAAGGTCGGACCGGGTACCCTTTAGTTGATGCAGGAATGAGAGAGCTATGGGCAACCGGGTGGATACACAACAGAATAAGAGTGATCGTATCAAGTTTTGCTGTGAAAGTATTGCTTCTTCCGTGGAAATGGGGGAATGAAGTATTTCTGGGACACACTTTTGGATGCTGATTTGGAAAGTGATATCCTTGGTTGGCAGTATATCTCAGGGAGCTTACCAGATGGCCATGAGCTTGAGCGTTTGGACAGTCCAGAGGTGAGTGTTTTGCTTCAGTACTTTATAAATTGAAAGCTAAAGAAAGTGCAGCTACCTGAATACCCTAAAACACAACAAATTTATTCTTGAGGAACATAAACCTATTTTAGTCCATTCTAACTTTAATTCATGTGAATTTTGGGAGTCAGGTTCAAGGCTCAAAATTTGACCCGGAGGGTGAATATGTAAGGCATTGGCTGCCTGAGTTAGCGCGTTTGCCAACTGAGTGGATCCATCATCCTTGGGATGCGCCTGATAATGTGCTTAAAGTTTCGGGGGTAGAGTTAGGATTTAACTATCCAAAACCTTTCATTGAGATAGATTTGGCTAGAGAACATTTGACCAAGGCTATATTCAAGATGTGGGAAATGGAAGCAGCAGCAAAGGCTGCAAACTCAAATGGCACAGATGAAGTTGTTGTTGACAATTCCGATGGAATTGAAAGTTTGCCTATCCCAAAAGTGATCTTAAAGAATAATGCTCCTTGTCCTACTTACTCATCGAATGATCAGAAGGTGCCTACATGTCAAAATTCCAAGAGTAACCAATTTAATAGGAAGAGATCCAAACATATGCAAGAAGAAAGGCCACTCCAAGATAATTTGCACAGTCCTAATGAAGCTGGGACCTCGAGAACAAATGAAGATTGCAGCTCTACAGCTGAATCTTCAATGTCTAAGAAGCAGACAACAAGCAGAAATTCATTTTCTGTTCCACAGTCATGTTCCTCATCAAAAGACAACTCTTTTTTGGAGTGTGAATCTTCTGACATGAAGCAGTCATGGCAAGAACAGATTGACATGGAACAGAGTTCTAGCAAAGATGGTAAGCAAAGAATTAACTAATTGTTTGAGTTTAAATTCATTCCAAATTACAATATATGAAAGCAGGAACAGGTTGACTTAGTGTTGATGATTTATTTTGGAAAACCTATCTGCAGTTCATTCTACTAATTAAATTTCTTCAGTTCTTTAAGTGGCTTGAAATTTTACTGTATATTAACTCATTTTTCATGTTTCCATTGGCCTCCTAACTATTCAATTCAGCTATAGTTTTGACAAATTTAATTTCTGGTGCATGCAAAAAATTGTTTGAGCTTTGTGAATTTGGTTTTCAGAAACATGTCTACCAATATGAACAAGAAAACAAAGAAAGTTCTGGACTACGAAATCCACCAAAAGTTAATGGAAATGCTGTTAGATCAGACTTGTATCACAATAATTGCGAGGTTGACATATTATTGTGTCTCCCCAGAAAAAAATTAGAGAGGCAGATTTGTGTGTATGTGTTTTAGCCGGATGGTTTTGGGCTGTGGAAAGGATGAATTGACGCATGATAAATGACTCAAAATCTGAGAATTTCTCTCCGTACTTTCCTTTCTGCCATTCAATGGTTATAAAAATTAGTTCTGTGTCAGTATTTCAATTGAATGTTATTGCATGTATTGCACTATTTAATTTAATTATTTCAAACTTCTGTGGGAGTAGGAGCTACGGGAGATGAATGCCTATAAGTCGGAATACATTGGCGACCGTACTGTTCATCAAGAAAGAGGATGGTTCTGCATTTGGAGTAATGTAATGCAGTATGCATGGTGCAATTGTCCTTTAGGTATGACAACAATTACTCGAGTGTAAAATCCATAGCATGTAAATGATTACTGGCTGATAAGATGTCCATTTTTCCTCCATAATAGTAGATATAGAGATTGAAGAACTAACAAGCTTGAAACAGAAAACTTCCCAACTTTGTTGGTGCATGCTTGCTCTGTGTACTGTTGTTGTAAAAGGAAGGACGCATCATATGTTTTATTAAGGATTTGGCATGGCATAATAAATTTTGTAAATTTTGAAGCATCATATGCCTCAGCGGAGCCATGGCTCAAATATCTTGTTCTTCCTATTTCTATTGCTTCCTTTCATATGTAATAATCACTTAATCAGTGCATTCCTCAAAACTTGACCGACAGCCTGAGACGTGATGGTTAACTTTTGTCTGTTTTCTCTCTGTTTTTTTGTTTTTTTTTTTTTTTTTTTTTTTTTTTTTTTTTTATTTATTTTTTTTTTTTTATTTATGGTTTTGATTTATATTTTAAAAAAAATACAATTTAGCTTCCCAACTTTGATTATCAAAGTACCAAATAAATAATATATCTGATACAATCACTTGAGTTTTATTTTCCATAATTCTTATTTATCTGTTAAAAAAGATCTGATACATTCAGATTTAGACATGATTTCATCTGCTGCTTGGTCCTGATTTGAAGAGAAACTCTCATGCAATAGGGATATTACTTTTTAGCATCCCTGATCAAAAAACACAATGAGATGTGAGATAACTTTTCCACGTGTTATTATGTTATTGACTGGGAATAGTAAGTTTGTTTTTTTTTCCCTGATTTGGGTGTCTAGTAAAATAACCCACCAGTATTTAGAAAATGTTTGATTGTCTAGTCAGAGAAGATTATTTTAGAGTATAGGCAACTTTATTCTATAACTACAAGACACATGCTGCAAATCCTTCACCAAGAAATGGGTCAGCTTGTCACATCCTTTATAGTATAGAAACACAAGCAACTTGACAAATCTTCCCTAAGTTGACAGCCAGAGTCCAGAGATACTCCAGATATTTAATTAGCATATTGGTAATAAAATAAAATTCTGTTAGACAAAGCTGCTTGAGAAAATCGCCAAAAGCAGAACCTTTGAGGCAGCATGCATGCTAAATGTTTCTTTGCCACTTAGAATTTGGCATGAATATGGCGTATAGGTTAGGTCCAAGTACATAATAAGGATTCAAAGAATTGAAGTGCACTTGTATAGATCACCATCAAAACTAAGGTTTCTTTTTTTATTTTCTGCTTTCGAAATGCTAACTCTATTTTGAAGTCAAAGTTCACAACTTGCTTTTCGATACAAACCGAAAGGGTTGAGAAAATCTTCGACCTCTCCACTTATTGTCAATTATTAATTTCGGGTTCGATATTCACATTCTAATAGTAATCCTAAATGGGGTCATATTTTATTTTGAGTTTTATTATTAAATTATAAATAATAAACGGGAAACCTTAGATTTGTGGTATACAATACAATTTGGATGGAAGTAAACAATACAAAGACAAGTATATATAATATGGTGTGAATCTTGAAAAAGAAAAAGTCCGTCAATGCATGCATACAAGATCAAATACCAAGCTTTTGTTATTTGTAATTTAAAACAAAAATCTTCCATGGCAGTGCCTGTCAAGAGTTTGACAGCTGAGAATAAATTATCATGAAACAATCTTAAAACACGGTCTTGTTAGCCATGGCGATTAATCTCAATTTCCTATAAGACAAACCGCCCATAAATACACTTAAAAAATAAATAAAATAAAGCGAAAATAGCATAGCCACACAAGCAATATTTTGCATTGAGTGGTGCACGCCACATTGCATGCACAAACAATTGGTTTTTCTTGACATTATATGTATAAACATTATATTATGGGCATAATGTCCGACGCAAACAAGGCTGGTGAAGTGGAAGTCTAGGTTGATACATTTGTATTTGTTAATGTGTCCCCCTCATTACCTAACTATTGATTTGGATCTCTTCACTAATCCAATACGTTAAATTAAGAGATTGTGTTATGTCTCCCATGACTTGCACCATTCAATAGGGTTTAGGTAAGGGCCTCGTAGCTTAGTTGGTTAAGAGCATTTTACTTCTGTATATGAGGTTTTAAGTTTGATTCCCCCCTCTCCCAATATCGCTTATATATATAAAGTTGTAGGATTTAGTTCTCCTCGAGACTTATATTGATAGAGGTAATGATTCATCAGAAAATTTATGCTGATCACCAATTGTCAGTCATTTATGTTGATATGCCATTACTTGTTCACTACATTACCTTAAATTTAAACATCTATAAGAAGAGATTAGGATAGACTAATTATAGTTAAAGTTTGGAAACTAGCTGACTATATAAGAGATTACTTGAAAACTTGTGATTCCCCCACTCCATTCTTCACTAAAAACAAACTCTATGATTTACATGTGCGTAAAAATAAAATAAAAACCGTACTCCCACAAATACGAATAGAATATAACGTTGTGATTATCTTATGATTTGATACGTATGGTTTATGAGTGATTTTATACGCAACCCTAATGTTCATCATACAAATAAAAAGAAGAAAAAGTTTTGTATTTCATGGACCATTTGGAAAGGGACATTCGCATGTATTCTTCCGCAAGTTCATAATCGTCCCCCTAACCTTTTGTGCAATTATTGTCCTTGGTTTGTACTGCATAACTCTGCAAGCATATCTCTGAAATTGAAGAAGTAGCTATCAAGATTCCAATGTACCTTTTGCTTCCTCCCAAAGGCTATTTGATTCCTCATCCTCACATTTGTACATTTGTGAATTTTGCGAGAGTCTTTTTGTCGCATTTCAATGACTTTGGAGAAATAGAATATATATATATATATATAAGGGCCTAAAATATCTAAACTATAATATTATGTTGATTTCATGATGAAAACATTTTCGTTCTAACATTTTTATGGGTTTAATTTTGAGAATATTGTTGAATATAATTCATTTACTATATATGTAGAAATAATAATTGACGTCCTAGCTTCCCAATCTCATATCCAGCTTGAATCAGAATACAAATTTGTGAGTCGGATTTTTTATTTATTTATTGAATTTTCATGTGACAAAACCCAAAAAATGTGTCATACATACCCCCATTATTTTCTTTACTTTTTGATTTAGTTATTAATATTAATTCGCTTGCCCATGGTCATTATGTAACGTTGGGCAAGAATCCACTATCTAGAGTCCATGTGTTGGTTTTTTTTTTTTTTTTTTTTTTTTTTTTAAAATTTGTTAATGTTTGTCATTCTCTTCATTATATTTAAAAAAAATTAACAAACCATTCACATAACCGCTTAAGCTGGCACGCTTCTCACACCATTTTTTTTTGTTTTTTTTTCTTGGCCAACAATAAGATATTATCTTTTTGAAACACAAGGGTCATAGTGTTTTATTAATGACGAGAAAAGGGTAACAAGTACAAAAAACCGGACCAAGCCCTAGAGGATTAGGTAAGTACTCTACACCCAACGAAGCGTAGTGATCGTCAGCTATGAAGTAGCTTACCTCCTCAACCGCAAGCGGCGCAAATTATTTAAATATAATTAAGAGAATGACAATATTGGAAGATCTGGCGGTTCTTCAAACCAAGTAGTAGTAGTTCCAATGTGGGAAGCATACCACGCCAGACGATGAGCCGCTCCATTTGCAACACGGCGGATATGGGTAAAACCATCCCTAGTAATATGAGTTAGTAGCGTCTTAGTATCTTCCACCACTGGGCCTATAGGGGACCTATCAACAGAAGGACTTTGGATTGTTGACACAATCACAATCTGGAGAGAATCACTCTAAAAAATTACATTAGTAAAATCCCCTTCCACCGCCAAAATTCCTCCTTCACGAGCTGCCATTGCTTCAACCTGTAAAGCTGAGAAGACATTGTCCACATACAGCGCTCTTCCCGCAACAAAATTACCGTTAGAATCACGCACCATGATTCCCACACCTCCATCTGTGTGACCTGCTGTCCAAGAGCCATCAACATTAATTTTTAGGCTTCCAGTAATTGTTTTTTTTTCTTAATAAAGTCATCTTATGACGTTAAACATTGAAAATCCTCTTCTAATCACTTTCCAGAAGTTAGTTCTTGAATTGTTAATTCCATAGTTACTTATCATTTTCGCTTGTCAATTTTATGGTGTTTAGCGAGTGAATTATTAATTGTCAAGGCCCCTAATTAGTACTCATCGATTAAGGAGTTTTCCAGGCTGTTTCCTTCTCTAATTTTTAACAACATATTAAGGCTCCTTAATACTTCACCAAACAATATTAATCTCATTTAGTTTTATTATAGAAACATAACTTATAAGCAAAACATAAGTGATTGCCAATCATAAACACAAATACTTTTCACCGCACATCAACAGACTACCCATAAACGCGTGGGCATGCACAACTATTATGAATAATATCAAACTAAAAAAAAGATAATTTTATCAACGGGATCTAGTCCAGTTAAAAAGAGTCTTGACTTACGGACAAAAAAGAAAAAATAGTGTTTCACCCAACATGCACTAGTGCTTGTATGAATAATATGCATTACGATGTCTAGACACGCACTTAAATTGTGGCAATCTTTAATTACCTTTTATAGGTGGGAGTCGAATAGGTTTCCAACTACTAAACCAACCACAAAGAAAATCCTTACAAAAAACCCAAAAATATAAAATAAAAAATAAAGCAGCAGGAGAAATACCTGCTAGTGTACGACACGGACTTCCAATTACTAGAAAGGACGGCAACAGTACGGAAATCACGTTCTCCTTTTCCATTTCTATTGGAAGAAAGGGCATTTGCGTAATTTCAACCCACCCACAGGTACAGGTTCGTTGATTCACTTCGAATCTCCAGCCGTTAGATTCTACATGAAACACGTGGCGGGAGCAGAAGAAACGATTCCATTTACACCCCGAATATTCTCCAGAAACATTCCCGTAACCATCACGCCTATTAAAATCCCAACGAAACCAACCCAAACTCCCGTTTGACTCCAAAAATCACAGAACTAGTTACACTAATGAGTGAGGCACTGCAGCGAGACTACCAGCTGTGCGAGGAGCTCGGCCGTGGACGATTCGGCGTCGTTTTCAAAGCCCAGAGGAACGGCGACGTTTTCGCCGTCAAATCGATCGACAAGCGAATCGCCGACTCAGGCGACTCGCTCGATGCCCAATGTCTGTTGACGGAGCCGAAGATTTTGAAGCTTTTGGCCTCGCACCCCAACGTCATCAACCTCCACGACCTCTACGAAGACGACGACCACCTCCACATGGTCCTCGACCTCTGCGATGCGCCCGATCTCTATCGCCGAGTCACTCTCGGAGTCTTCTCCGAGCCCGAGGCCGCCTCGGTCATGGCTCAGCTCATGCTCGCCGTTGCGCACTGCCACCGCCTCGGCGTGGCTCACCGGGACATCAAGCCGGACAACATCTTGTTCGATGGTCGGGACCGGCTTCGGCTCGCCGATTTCGGATCGGCCGAGACATTCGGGGATGGCGAGACGATGAGCGGCCTCGTCGGAACGCCGTACTACGTGGCGCCGGAATTGGTGGCGGGAAGGGAGTACGGGGAGAAGGTCGACGTTTGGAGCTCCGGCGTTGTTCTGTACATAATGCTGGCCGGTTTCCCTCCGTTTTACGGCGATACGGCGGCAGAGATCTTCGAGGCGGTGCTCAGAGCGAACTTGAGATTTCCTTCGAGGGTTTTCAACGGCGTCTCGGCGTCCGTCAAAGATTTGTTGAGGCGGATGCTGTGTAAGGACGTTTCCAGAAGGTTCTCGGCTGAGCAAGTTCTCAGTAAGTAGTCTCTGTTGATTTTTGTTTGATTAATTTCAGTTTTCACGTCCGCTTAGACTGTTTGGTTGCGGGGATAGGTTGGGTAATTTGATATCCTTAATTGGAATAGCGAGACATCCAATTTTCAAAGTTTATTAATCGTAATAATTGAGTGGAAACGGGGACTACAGATACAGAGTAAAAATCTAATGTGGGGTTGTTTGGGTACAGGACATCCATGGATTACAAGCGGGGGAGGGGCCAGAGCTGGGGCTGATTAAGCGTGAAGCATCTAATTAAGCCTCCTTATAAATAGATTTTGTAAAAGCTTGGTGCTAGCTACTGTACATATACGCAATGGTGTCGGGAAAAATGAAAGCATTTGTAGTTGCTTTCCCGGAAAAGAAAAAAGGAAAAAAGCGAGTGTTTTTTTCTTTTTTCTCTGCTCTTGATATATATTGGAGTGTTTTTCTGTGTTTATTTTTTCTTTTTTGTTTGGTTGTTTTTAATTTGAATATGGTGGTGGTATGTGTAATGAGAGCTTTGGAGTTGAGTTTCCTCTGGTTTCTGCTATTATTTAGATCCTAATAACAGATAAAAGTAAAAATAAGATTAGATAAATCAGCGTTATGTCTCTCTATCTCAGTTAAGACGCAAATCTTATCCTTGAAACATTCGGAAGTGATGTGAAATAGAAGTAGACTTTGATGGTAACTTGTCATTGATGGATGCTATATTTCTATAGCCTATCTGATATATAATGCTGCGTGGAAGTGGAAACCATTTTGAATTTTGATAATGTTATGCGGTCTCTGTATTATTCTTCGTTTTCAAGAATCAGTAATGTACGAGAGAATATGCCTTGAAACTATTTTAAGGTGGCACAACGTTATCAGGTGGTTGACATGCTAAATAGTTTCAAGACAACTTTTTTATTTACGAAAGAGTTATAATTTAATTGGTTAAGAGTATTTATTTTATTTTTAAAATACTTTTGTTTCGCTCGTAAAAATGGAATGAAGTCGCATTTTATGGGGGCATGTCAAAACATCGATGATAGAATGGCAACATCACCCTTGGATTTGATTTATGCGGATGAAATGGATGTTAGTAGAACTAGTGAGGTCCATGGTCATTAAAGTGAGTAGAATAGAACGATGGTCCCTCCATGCCTGAATAATGGTCGCATGGTACTGATTATTTCTCACTACTTGGAGTACAATTTGGATTAGAGGGACAACATTTGGGGCCTATGGGCCCACTAAATTGGTGTCACAAGGCTGATTTGTTTTACGAGTTCCAAGTTTAGTAGGTGCCTGCCTACTAATTTAGCTACTGTACAAGGATCAAGTTGATGCTATCAGACAACCGGTCCTTTTTTGTTGTTGGTCGAAAAACAAAAGTCATTGAGGAACAGAAAAACCGACCCATGTGAGGAAGGGCCACCCAACCATTCCCATTTCTTTGTCTTTATCAAACATCAAAATATCCATTCGATCACTCTCAACGTCCTAGTGCAAAATAAATGTGGAATATATAGCTGCTTCTGCCTTCTGAGAGGTGGTGGTGGCCGCCATGGTGGGGTGGCACCGTGGCATATTTGCATTTATATCCGTTTTATCCGTACATCCGTAGTTATAATATAACTATTTCTTTTTACGTACATGACTAGTTATGTGACGAGAGAAATATAGAGAGGGATGTGAATAGCAAGAAATATGTAAGCTTCTCTCTGTGATGTGAAGCGAGCGTGAGAGAGCACAAAGAATGGGCAACGACGTCACTTTTTCAAGTGGTAGTGAATACAACGATACTTTTTCAGGTGGCGGTGGTAAGGTTCATTTAGGCTCTTGGGTTGCTTTAGGGTTTCGATTATGTTGGGCTTGTGAGCTTTATTTAGGATTATGTTTAATTGTGTTGACATGAGCTAGTAGTTTTAGTGCGGGTTTTTCTTTATGTTTTTTTTTAAAAAATTTATCGAATGAAGTTGCTCTTTGATAAATAAATAAAAAACATGAAAGTCTTTGTGATGATTTTACATACTGATGTGTTCATAAATTCACATGATTTTATATCCTTTTTACTTAGTTTTGTGAATTAATTTGGACTAAAGATGCTGAGTTGAGTTATTTCCTGTTTTTCAGCTTATGAGCCACGGAATGAATAAATTCGTCAAATATTCATCGTAATAGAGTTCGACATGATTCCAATTGGAGATGGGAGACAGCATCTTGAAGTTTATCCATGAATATTTTCATAATTTTTGAAGACTGCTAAGGTGCCCATTTTTAATTAGACAATTCAGCATAAATCAATTCCTGGAGAATACTGAGTCAGCAGGGGTATTTTGGCTACAACTCACTCATACAACATCGGATTGAGGCATATGATATATGGCTGAAAAGAAGACATCCAGAGCTTTCCAAATAGTGGTATTACGTAATTTTTGGAGGTCAGAAACGTGTCCAAATCGCATTCGCAATGAGGATCACGTGCAGTTTCCTGGAGGTTTTAGGAAACTTAGTTTTAATTAGCTTTTCTAGTTAGGAACTGACTTGGAAATCAAGTCTTCGTGTAAGGCCACTTGTTTAGGCCCATTCTAACTAGGTTTTAGGTTCTTTTAAGGGGGGAGGTCGTAGAGGCTCAGGAGACGAGAAATTTTTCAGACTTCAACCGTGGAGCAAGGAAGAGCCACCGTGCCTCTAAACTCTAAGGGTTTTCCTTATCTCTTTCTCCATGTTTTATTTTTGCTTTGTTACCATGATTATGAGTAACTAATTTTCTTTTACTAAGACACAATGTAACCCTTTTCTAATTATTCAAAGCTTAGTTATGTCATGCTATTAGAATTTCCATGTTGTTGAAATTTAATCACTGTGCTTATTTTCCTAACTAATGATCTTGATGCTTAGCTACCATCTAGGTTTTTGGTTAAGTAATTTGAAGCATGTTAGGGTATACGCCATGCCTAATATGAGTTTTGCTTTTTGTGATTAAATTCATGAATGCGCCTAAGGTAAACACTATACTCTTAGGGGTTTGTGTGATTGTGTGAAGTTCTCATTGAACCTAAGGTCTTTTTATATGTTTATATTTATGCCTCACGCCAAGGATAAATTGCATGTAAGAAGAAGTGGTTAATTGCTGTGAAAAGAATTAGTCATAATTTTGGAGAACTAATCATCAACATAACTTGGGAATTTTGATAGTATGCATGCTAAGGTTTGGATAAGAGGAATTGTGGTGAAATTGTTGTCTTGGTAAGCTTCTTTAAAATCTTTCACAAACTTATTTAGTTCACGTTTTTCTTCGTTATCTTGTCTTTTAATTTTCTTGTTTTCAACGTTCTTTCAAAGAAAATCTTTCAAAACCAACTTTCAAAAATCCTCTATTAAGTTTTAGTTGAGTCATTAGTTTTAAGTTTATTAATTAGGGTGTCTAGAGTAATTTAGGATTTAAATTAGTTTATAATTCACAACAACTTGAGAATTTATTCAGTCTCTGTGGGAACGACCTTGTACTTGCCTTGGCTATATTGCATTAACCTTGTGCGCTTGCAAGTTTATTTCTTGAATTTAACTATCTAATTTTCAGGTAGTAAAATTATACATCACATACAATAAATATATTGTATGGACACAAATACAGAGACACGTGGATATAAAAATATCAAAAACCTAGGACATGAACACGGCAATAAATTAAAAAATCCAAAGGTTTGATCATGAATGCACATCAACGGCAACTAACATCTTCTTCTTCTTCTTCTTCTACCCATCGGCTCATACTCTTCTGGTTTTGTAATTGTGAAGTGGAAAACCTCACGGGGCATTATAACACGCATCAGCGGCTTTACGATTTTCGTTGTTGGAAGCCATTGATGATGCAAAGCCTAGTCTGCCCAAAACTAATCAAACAGAGAGAGAGATAGAGAGAGAGAGAGAGTAGGTTTCTTTTCTTAAGATCTTTTATCTTTTATTTTTATTTTTATGTTATTATTATTTTTTTAATATATGTATATAGATTATTAGAAAATGTTATTTACATTTAGGTCACTAAACTCAATTATTAGTTGCAGACGTCACTCAATTAGGTATTGTGTTGCACCATTAGTCATTCCATCAAATTCTGTTAAATTTTCTGTCAAAAGTGGGGATAAATTTAGAAATTCATCCACAATCCTCCCCTTCCTCCACAACCCCATTGCTGCAACCCAATCTTTGCCGACACCAAAAAATTCAATTAAAAAGATGCCGCACAACAACAAGAATATTTTCAAATATTCATAATAAATACCTTTAGACCAGCAAACAGATTCAAGATCTCTCATTTTACCTTCAGACCAACCCTTCTCCTAAATCACATTGGTCTTCCATAATCTTCAAACCCAATTCAAATACACCAATTTAAAACCCGACCCTTTTGCAAGAGCCACTAAATCTGACTCATGGGTGCTAAAATTTGTAGACTTTTGAAACAAAAATGAAAAAGGGTAAGTGCTAAAATGATGAATCTTTGGACCTCCCCAAGGGAGCAAACAAGAATGGAAGGTTGAACCATAGGTTCGGCACAAGAGGAATCTTTCTTAGACTCGGTTCGCCGTCAGTTTGCAAACCATTGAGAGGTTGAGAGGGAAGAGGGGTTGGTGGGTTAGGGTTTTGAAGTTTTATGTAGCAGATCTGTGGGAATTTTTATTATTTGATATTAAATTCGAATTTCTGAATTTACAAAATTACAGATTTTGAAATTGTGGAGGAAATGGAGGGTTGTGGATGAATTTCTGAATTTACCCTCACTTTTGACAGAAAATTTAACAGAACTTGACGAAAGGACTAGTGGTACAATAAAACACATATTTGAGTGACTTCTGCAACTAATAATTGAGTTTAGTGACCTATATGTAACTACGGGTATAGTTGAGGGACCATTGCTGCGAATAACCCTATAATTTTATATAATTATTTTTTTTAATGAGCTATGAAAAGACATATATACCATTCTTGTACCCCTCATATGCCGTTCACATGACTAAAACTCATAAAAAATGTAATGATAGGGCCAATGTACCGAATAACAAAGAGTTGGTAGACCATTTAAACTAATAATTTAGTTGATGGATCAAAATACAACTCTGATATAAATTTGAGGACCATTCAAGGGCGGATATATGTACATGCTGGAGTAGGCTCCAGCCCAGTGCAAGATTTAAAGTTACTAGACTTCGGTGCAAATTTTACGAAGTTGTCCCTACTCTCACAAATATTAGCCTACCCCTCTTTGCCACATGTTGTCTATTGAGTTGCTTTTTGTCTTTTAATCTAATAAACCAATCAAATTTTGCTGCTTTTATGTCTTTTGCATTCTCTCGTTCTCTTCTTCGTCCTTTTCTCTTTTAATTCTTTTCTCTTGTACTGCATTTCTCTTCTTTTTTTGTTTCTCTCTGCTTTATTTCTTTATTTCTTTTCTTCTTCTTTGTATTCGGCTTATTTTCTGCTTCGTTCTCTTCCTCTCTTTGTGTGAAATCACTGTTTGTCCCCCTCTATCTCTCTCTTACTCTCACTGCTCCTATCACCAACTCTCTCAACTCTACCTCTCTCTCTCTCTCTCTCTCTCTCTCTCTCTCTCTCTCTCTCTCTCTCTCTCTCTTTGTTTTAGCATTTAGGTTTTGGTTGTTCAATTTTAATTGTTATTGTTAGATTTTTAAGATTTAGGGTTTGGTTTTAAAATTTTTTGATTTTTTTTCTTATGCTATTTGAAAGAAAAGTTGCTTCTCTACTTGGGTTCCACTCCAAACATCAAGGTGAGGTTCTCTGCTTTTCAAGGTCAGGAAAGGGAGATAGAAGGAGAAAGGATTTGTTTTATTTTTTTTAAAAAAATGATAATTTTTAGTTATTAAATATTTTTAAAGATATTATTTTTATTTTATTTTTTTTACTTGGAGTCCCCAAAGTCAAGAAAAATGTTAGCCTACCCTTGACAAAATTCATGGGTCCGCCATTGGGACCATTTGAGTTAAAAACTCTATATATTAAATAAACAAAATGTTCATGTTCATACTTCAATTTTTAATACCATAAGATAAAAAAAGTACCCATGTATTCTTCATGATTCATTCACATAATAATTAAAACCACACAAAATAAAACAAAAATTGATCTCAAGTACCAAGAAGAGAAGAAAATATAATGAAAACTGAAAAGGAAAAAGAAAAAGAAAAAAAGGAGAATAAACAAAAAATGTGGGGGAAGTCGGGAGAGATAGAAGAGGGGCTGATAAGGTAATTGGAATAAGTTTAAGAGAGTTTTGAAATTATAATTTTTGCCCCAGATTGTTAAAACGTTTGAAATTTTGTTTTGATCCCGTTTTATTTTTAAAAATGTCAAAATCGCTCATGCCTTGTCTTGACTATGGGTCGTGTTTGGGGAGTATCTCGACCATGAGTGCCTTGACTATGAGTCCAAATGAAGGTAATAATTTGCATAAATTTGATCAGAGAGTGCATTCATGCAATTATTTGGACAGAAAGTAGAAGGTAATGCTAGATGGCATAAATGATATAAAAAAATTACAATAAACCCCCCAACTTATAGGATCATTTATGAGTTTATACTCGATTTTGGAGACATTTACTAGTACATACTCAACGTCGTGGAAAACCTACAATTTACCCCATCCGTTAGCGAGATCGTTAGAAAATCTGTTATCTGCCTACGTGGCATTTGTGGGACCCATTTTTTAATTGACGTGGACTCCACATAAGAAATAAAATAAATAAATAAACAAAAAAACCCATCTTCTTCTCCGATATCCCCTCGCCGTTCAGCCTAACCTCCAACCCACCCTCCCCATAGCTCCGATCCAGCAAAACCAAACCAACCCTTCCCCTGTCTTCTTGGACCTCCAGCCGCCCTCTCTCTCTCTCTCTTCCCTTCCCCAAGCCACCCTCTCGACGCACCACAACCTAGATCCTAGTACATCTCTCTCTCTCTCTCTCGGCGCACCACAACCTAGATCCCAGTACACAACATATGGGTTTGTTTTTCTTGGGTATAATTGAAAACGCAAATTCGTTCCAAAATTCAAAACCAGATAGAAAGAATAAAAGAGAATGTCCTTCTCCGCCTTATCAGATTCCATCCCTCCCTGCCTGTGTCGCATATATTATTTTTTTTTTTTTTTTTTTTTTTGTTTTTTTTTTTTTTTTTGTGTTTTGATTGTGTGATTTTATTGTACTTTATTGATGATTCATTGAGGATTGAAATATCGGCCGAAATACACCGATATATTTGCCGATATATTTGGTATTTTCAATTATTGACACCGATACTGGGGGGTAAGGCCATATCTTCCCCTGTATCGACGATATATCCCCCGATAAGTGCGATATTCCCGATATTTTGCCGATATCCCCGATATTTCCAGATACCTATAACAGAACCCAAAAAAAATTCAAAATTTTTGAAGGCAATTGAAGCAAATTGAAACCCAAAAATTGCTAAGCCTTGCCCAAAACCCTATAATTTATTAATATGAAGAATCTATGTACAGTCCACTGGCCACATACCTCCAATTCATTTGAAAAGGACATGGGGAACAGTTTTAGATCTATGAGCATAGGAACTAGACCTAATATTAACTCAAATGAATCTTATGATGGCTATGGTTATGTCATGTCTGATTATAGTGAAACTAGTTATGGAGCTCAAGATGATGAAATAGATTATGGACCTACTAGTTGGGTTAATCCTAACTATCCCATATATGAGAGGACAGTATGGAGCTTGAGAGAGACTTATGTGCACCATGTTCTAACATAGCTTACAAACTGCTTGGGTTACATTACTTGGTATGACTATTGTATGAATTTGGATGGTTGTTCCTCATTGTTTAAACCTCATAGGAGCTCTTCAATTATGTAGGTGGACACTTATCTAAATTGTAATATAATGTTTAAACAAATTATGAATTTATGCATGGTTTATTCATCCTAATCAAAATTTTATTTTCAAACTTTTCATTAATTCACATTACATACCACTTATATTTCATCAATGTATATATTATTATTAGTAAATTTTGAGTTTTATTTGTTTAATACATTCATTGATAATGTACATAACATCTATGAAAGTTTTACACCAAAATTATGTGTTTCAATGCCTATATGTCTTTTTTGTTGATTTTTTCTCGATACCTAAAACGATAACAACATATCCCTTAAAATATCTGTAAATTGGAGGCCCGATATTATATGCACGGCCGATATTTTAATCCTTATTGATGATCACTGTCGTTTCAAGGATGCCGACTCCTCCGTACACTTCGCCAAGCAGACCTAAATATGGGTTTCAATTTCAATTGGGAGATATGTTTGTATCAAATTTCACTCTCTCCTCCCCCAACAGACCCAAATCACTAAGCAACAACGGTGGTTGACAAATTTTTGGCGACCTCTGGCTAATGCTATGTGTGGCTGGTTTTATTCAAAACCTAAATCAATGTCTTAGAGATCTTTTGTAGAAACCCTTTTTCAATTTATTTTCTTTGATTGATTTTGAATATATTGAGGAAGGGAGAGAGAGGGGGGTTGGATGGGCTGGGTTCCCCAGAGAAGAGGCTGAGGATGGGGTGGAAGAGGTTGGGATAGGGTGGAGCTTTTGGGTTTGTTTGTTTGGGCAATCTATTGTATGCCTGAGGAGGGGTGGTTGGGTGACAGGAGAAGGGTGGTTGGGCGACGACAGAGGAGTGGCTGAGGGGTGGGGGTTCGTCGGGAGGGAGAGAGTTTTGGATTCGCTGAATGAATATAATTTTTTATTGCTTTTTAGTCCATGTCATAAAAAAAAAAAGGGTCTCACTTTGACACGTCAGCATTTAACAGCTTTTTTAATGATCTCGTTAACGGATGGGGTAAATTGTAGGTTTTCCGCGACGTTGAGTATGTATTGATAAATGTCTCCAAAATCGGGTATGAACTCGTAAATGACCCTATAGGTTGGAGGGTTTACTGTAGTTTACCCAAAAAAAAAGAAAAAACTAGGAAAATTAGGAGCATTTAGCCAACTTTCTTTTTAATTACTTTTAATTGGAACGTAGGCTACCACAAACAATAAACAGGCTCAGAGCATGAAGATAAAGCAACATGATCAAACATTCGAAAAATCCTACACAACAATGCTATAATAATCTGATAAGAAAAGAAAAAGCCTAATTAAACTGGAGCAGTTCTTGTGCCACTTTCAATCTCCTGCTGCCTTGATTCTGATGGAGCTGCATTTTCTTGCTCTGCTTCACCAGACAGGTCCTCCAGTGATCTTCCCTTTGACTCAGGCACCAAGAAAGTAAACAACAGCCCTAGGAAGTTAACCACACCCAGAATTATGAGGGAGTTCCTCACCCCAATACCCTTTTCTGCATACTGAAATCCAAATGCACCCACAATTGCCCCAGCCTTCCCTGCTGCAGCTGATATACCATGGCATGTGGACCTCAGCCTTGCTGGGAAAATCTCTGCAGGCACCACAAATGTCGTGGCATTCGGACCGAAATTGGAGAAGAAGAAGGTCAATGAGTACATCACAACAAACCCAACTCGGTTCTCTCTAAGAGTCCAGTGCTGGTAAGGAATGGCCAAGGCAAACATGAAGACTGTCATGAAGAAAAACCCCATTATTTGAATTGTGAACCTTCCAATCCTGTCTATGAATGCCACGGTGAACCAGTACCCGGGGACTGTGCTGCAGAGAGCAATGAGAGTTTGTGCTCTGGCAATTTTGAAGACCTCTTCAAGAGCGCTCATGGTCTTTGCCTTTGGGATCCAGCCAATGGCACTGAAGATGTCCTTTTGGAATAGATTCTGGCTGTAGAAGGCAATGTCCAGCAAGAACCATGTGCTGGTAGTTCCAAGCAAGTGCCAGCCATGGCGGCTAAGAAAGTCTTTGGAAAACAAACCAAAATCATTCCCTCGTTGCTCTATCTTCTCCTGCTCTGCTTCTACCTCAACCTGCAAAACTTTCGACATATCAGCAGCAGCCTGCTTGGCATTCTTGGCAACCAAGGCAGTGTACCGAGCAGTTTCGGGCATTTTGGCACGCCAGTAATAAGTAAGCAAAGCTGGGAGTGCACCAAACATCAAAATAATTCGCCAAACATAATCGGCTTGTGGGAAAATAGAGGCAGCTGCATCATCTTCATAAGAGGGTGCAGGAAAACTGTGCTTGAATGCTGCAGATACTATAATTGCAACCATTCCACCAGCCAAAATCCCAAAACCTTGCATGGCAAACACAGCAGCAATGAAGGCTCCACGGGTCTTTTTATTTGCATACTCAGACATGATAGTGGCCGAGAGAGGATAGTCGCCGCCAATTCCAAAGCCTAGCCAGAACCTGAAAAAGCAAAGTGTCGAAACCACAGCCTTGGCGTCTCTCCCAAATGAGAGGCCGGATGCAACTGAGCATATGACCATGACCATAAGGACCATGCCGTAGACTCGTTTTCGGCCCAATTTGTCACCAAGCCAGCCGAAGAAGAGCTGGCCTGTGAGGGTGCCGCAGAAGGCCACACCATTAACAGCAGCCGAGACATTTGAAGGCAAACTTCCAGGCTCTGCAGCTCCAGGTTGTTGATAATATATGCGGCCAATCAATTTGGTGACAAGGGAAATGCAGAAGAGATCATAGGCATCTGTGAAGAAGCCCATGCCAGCAATCACAATTGCTGTGAAATGGTACCATTGTGTTTTCGCCACATCAAGTGCTTTCAGCACTTCCAGTTGTTCCTTGGCCATCACAAAATCACCCCTTCTCTAAAGTTGGTCTGCCTTGTTGAATTTTCTTCAACTGTTTAACCTGAAATTTTGATTGCAGAAAGAAAAAAAATCAATCTATTAAAAAAAAAAAAAAAAAAAAAAAAAGAAAACAGAAAGTAAAGAGAAGATTGAGACAAAATAGGGGATTGATATGATTCCTCTACAATCAATGAGCTTACGTGAACAGATGAGTTTTTAAAGAGAACCATACGACCTTTTCTTTAAGAAGTATAAGGAGAAGCGATAACCAAAGAGGATGAAGTTTCTCACACATACAAAACTAATATTATGGAAGTTCGAACTTGAGATCTCTAATTTACAAGTCAAGATGTTTTTCACTAAGCTAGACCAAGTTCGCCAGAATGATGACAATTGACAACTAAAAGAAACATGAGAAAATGACCCGGAGCACAGGAAGTCATGGGTCAATAAAGTGAAATTAATTGTAAAGAAAGTGGAATAAAATACTTTTCTTCTTCTATAAGAATATGTCAAATTCAGAAACTAAATTAAATGTTCATCAGTCAGAATATATTAAATTGCTAATGGATGCAGCTGAATTAGCAGACAGATGGATTAACAGATGGATTTCAAACAGTGAATTTAAAATTCTTGAAAGCAGGGATATGGTCAAACTACAGCTGCATCTGCATCTACAACTGCAACTACAACTTCAACTACTCGTTTTCTGAGCTCTAAACAGACAAAATAAAAGGGATAAACATAGAGTTAAATAATTTCTCATGCAACCCAATTTCCATCAAAGAAAGGAGAATTAATGATTCACTACACAACAAAGAAAGAACTAGAAACAAAAAAACACACAGGGAAATGATCTCCAATACTACAGGAGCTTAGAGAACGCAAAAGTTGAAAGCAACAAACCTTTATAATTTACTTTGAAGCAGAAAACTTATGAAAGAATTGTGCTTTATAAGCCCAGATTATATAGTATGATTTTCAGTTACACCTTTTCATTTCACTACTTGAAAAATCTGTCACGCAAATAAAATATCTCCCTTTTTTCCTCTGCTTTCTTTGAGAACAGACGTGAAGTATGGAGAAACAGAAAAGAACATCCAGGAATATTCTTGAACAAGAGCAACAAAAGATGCCCAAGTTGCTTGACATTACGGTAATTACCCAATTACCATCCAACACCAAAGATGAAAAGAAACTGATTTTCACGTGCCCAAATCAAGAAAAAGTGTTTGCCTTTTCTAAATTTTTATATTGGGTTCTTGATAACGTTGCAAAATGCAACACAAGGCTTAGCAAAACAAAGAACAAATGTATGTGCATTAGATAAATCTCTGCAATATGTTACAATTTATTTACTTTCATGGAAAAGAATGAAGCTTGTGAGAGCTGAGAAAGAAAGGAATTGAAAATTCCAGGCATTGATTGATCCCAAATTATGCAGGCAATTAAAGAACAGATATGAACAAAACAAACCCACATGAGTGAAAAATCAAAGCAAAAAAAAAGGTAGAGTGGAAAGAATCGGCAAACCTTGTAGCTGTAAAGCGAAGGTGAGAGAATCTGAATGCAATTATGAGGAAATCACAGTGCAAGGAGAAAAAACCATGTCTTGTCTGAATGCAATTAGTAGTGGAAAAAAGAAAACAGAGAGGTTTAAAGAGAGTGATGAAGCTAAGGAGAGTGGTTTTCTTTGTATGTTTCTTTCTATTATATTTAGACTCAGAAAGAAAAGGAGGAGCGAGAGAGCGAAAGTACGGGAATGGAGGGAAGGGAAGCGGGGTTGGTTCCGTATTTAACTGCAACAGACCCTCATCATCTCCCAGTAAATGTTCAGAGGAATCTTCGTTTTTACCAGGCATATTCCCCCCCTTATTTCTCACTCACCTCACCTCTCTTCTTTGACCCTATCTTTCCTATTAGTCAACATAGTAACTTTATTTTTCTCAAAAAAGTTTTATTTACCCATACAAAAAATTCTCTGACTATTCCCTACGTCCAAATACAGAACTCATTTTTATTTTATTTTGTAGAAACGATATCGAAGGAGGTAATATGAACACAGGATCTTAGGTGCAAGGAAAATCGCTTTTAATCACAAGATTTACAAGCTCCTTGCAAGGCCCATTTTAGTTTTAGAGTCCAACCATCTAACTTTATTCCATTGTGTTATTCTTTTGATGACTATATGAGGGAATTATAAAGAAAAACGAAAATTGGAATAATTTCTATGAGAGCTTCTATAACTTAATTATGGGCTGTCATTCAGTATTTGTGAACATCAAATCAAGATTAAAAGAAGAGAAGAATATATAAATACAATAGACTTGGGTCGATTTCCTAATTTAACTAGATTTTTGTTTGCATGAACTTATTTTTATGTCTTTATTCATACTAATTGTTATGGTATGTGTCATATTAGTTTATATAAAAAACTGAGATAAGATAACCCCATTCACTATGGGTGGGTAGCAGATCAATTAAAAAAAAGAGACGTTGTCTTCCCTAGCATTACAAGAAGAAAATATATACCTTGTCCAAAATGATTTTTATTTTTTGATTAATGAGGAGAGAGATTTGAATTTGAGATATCTTCTAACTTTTGAAAGAGAAAGAATCGTACCAGTAGACCGGGACTACGAGAAATTTTTTAAAGTAAAAATGTACAGCTAAAAAATAAAATGCTCTTTTTATCTAATGTTGTTGTCAAATGACAATAACACATAATAGAAGTTTAATTGGAGTCTGAAATAAATAATATATCAATAATATCTCTGTCGATGTGATTAGTTGATATATCTTTGAATTGAAATGCAAAGCTTTTGGTCTAGAAAAAAGCATCTAAATTGAGATATTCGCGTGAAAAACATGCATGCATGGTGTTTTGATGCTTAGCACAGATTAATATGTCCGTCAAAGTAAAAAAGCTACGATTTCAAAAGAAAAGCCAACCATATAGATTCAAACAACTCATGAATGCCAAGAAAAATTGGACCACCGAAGTTTCTGAGTTCTCACGAAAGTGAGGTCATTATATTCATTCAACCAACCTGATCATAAAGAAAAAAAGATATCCCTAACTACACGTAAGTTAACCTACCAAGAGAGGCTTCGGGCACAAACAGACAAAGCGGCCGCCTAAGGTCTCCAAATTGGGAGGGCCTCCAATTTGTATAATACCCTATATATACATACATTGTTTAAAAAACTATATTATATAAATATTATGTTAGGCCCAAACCAATTATTGTAAATTAATTTACATAACTATTCAATTCAAAATTTAAAAGTTTAAACTCAATAAAGACCCACTAATTGTAAAATAGATAAAATAAAATAAAAAATTGCCCAATTACTCAATTCAAAATTAAAAAGAGAAAACTCAATAAAGACTCAATTATTTATTTATTTTTTAAAAACTTATAGCTTAAATCAATTAACCTAGTTGAATCAATTAGGAAACTAAAAAATACATGGGAGAAAAACTTGATTATGTTAATTAATATTTTTGAATCAAAAAATGAAAAATGAGTGACATTTAAGGGATGCATTTTATAAAGTTGTTGTGTAAATTACACATTGATTGTTTCTTTTATGTTACAATTGTGAATTTGAGTTCATATAATATTTTTTTAACTTACAGAAAAAAAAAATCACATAAATATACACAGAGTAGAAGGCCTCATTTAAGATGTTCGTCTAGTACCTCCAAAACGTAGGACCGCCGCTGTTACCTACCCATGTATTTGTGGTTTCAAATTGTTTTTGTTGACCTGAAGTCACATGAAAGAGAACTAGTTGGATTGCGTTTCAATATTTTATGTGGACCAACTTATAGTTATACATAATAAGAACACGCTTCCCAAATGTAAGATTGGCAAGTTTTGAAATTTTGGTGAAGGACAATATCGCAGGAAGTGTATATATTTTATCCCAAATTTTGGTATGCTGATCGAAACTGAAAGAAGAGCTAACAAGTCTAAAGATGATGCAACCAAGTTGTCTCGAAGAGTCTTGGTATGCTTGCAAGTTGCAGCATGTCCTTTTCTTCTTGCTTACAGCTAACATGTTACTCTACAGGGGAAAAAAGATGATTTCATTCATGTCAAAGAAAATTTTGGACCAAGAGATTTAGACGCAAATCTGAAAAAGATGATTTCATTCATGAAAAACATGTTTACATATTTTCTAAGTGTCGGGAGCAAGCGATCCCAATCACATGAATCAAGAGATTTAGAAGCAAATCTGTCACCAAGTGAAGTGAGCATGCGAGAAAATAACTGAACTGAATGCAGCCGCGTTGCCTGCAAAATGTCTTGCATCAATGCTCATAAGAATTTGACACAATAGGATGAACTTTTAGTAATATTTTAACATTTTATAGATCTTTTGTTCATACATTTGTTATGAACCTTCAAATCCATCATTAATATCTACAAGTGATTTGCTATAGATGATTAAGTAGTGTGAGGCACATAATTAATTTCAAATTAGTGATGCACATGCACCTTCTCTATCCTCCTCCTTGTACCCCAGGCCTTCTTTTCCAAACGTTTTGACTTGTCTAGTTAACTTGTCATCCTAGTGAAGTGATGACCTTCCCTTTCAAGCCAAGCTAGCTACTAGTACAGCAAAGCTGGTAAGAGTCAATGACTGGAAATCCTACCCACCATTTTCACCAAAACAGTCCAAACCATCTCGTTTTCTTGACTGCCATTAGGTTCAAAATATTGTGTTTTCACATTAGCCTCTTCTAATATTAATTATGCATACAGTATATTCATGCAACAGACAGATTTTTTAGTGGACAAAAAATCGGCCGACCCGTTCAAATCTTGACCTATTTTTCATCATTTTTGGTAGTCAAATTCTCTTCCTAACATTTCGTCACTTGAATAGGGTCTCACAGACTTGCACATTTTTCTGGTTTCACAATTTTTTTTGTTTTGTTTTGTAATTATTGTATGTGGGGTTGGAATGAAGACTTCAAGCTTAACTCTGCCCCATTCTCACTTTTTTTGGGTCAGAAAACCTGAAGTGTCACTCTAGTTTAACCTTAATCAAGAAGGAGCGACACAAAATTCAATTTCAGATGGTCCAACACAAATGGCTCTAACATTCCGGCATGTGTTTGACATATGATCATGACTGCTATGAACTACCACTACTAGACCGGTCATTTGATCATATCTCTCAGATTATGGATGATGGAAGACGGAGACAGACATTACTTGCATCAAATTTTGCATTTGCAGAATTGGTTTGTATTTGCACTATTTTTATATTCGAACATGTAATATCATTTCACATCGAGAAGAAAAGCCATTAGACCAAGAGCTAGTTGGTCATTGAACTGCAGTTTGCTTTAGTATCATAAAAAATACCTGTGAACAGTGGCGGATCCAGGATAGTTATATCATGGGGTCATAGTGTAAAAGTTTATAATATTTTATAAAATGAAAATAACACTAAAATATAGAAACCAATTTGATGTAAATTAGTTGGTCTGACACTGAGTAAGAGTCTTACATCTGTATTGATTCGTGAAGTCGTTTTGGCAAAAAGTCGTGCAAGGTCCTTCACATAGTTACCTGATACGTGGAAAGAAAAAATGTATAAATATACGAATGTAGACAGAAAAAGCATATGAGGTTTTAAAAACACACAACATTAAAAACTATCTCAAACCTGAAAACTAGTTTTTTTGTTTTTTGTTTTTTGTTTTTGTTTTTTTTTAAAGTTAATATAATATAATTTTTTAGTTTAATGTTATAATTGCTTTGAAATACCCGTTTCTTATTTCCAGCGATTGCCTCTTTGGAAAACATCAATCTTTATGATATTGAAAGACCCAATGTATGTATTTCCAACCACTACTTCGAACTCCAATATCTCCCCGCCCACCTTTATTATTCTCTTTCCATGACTCTCCCTCTATCGTTCCAAAGTTCATGGTTCTCTCTCTCTCTCCAGTGCTATTCTTTCTCACGGCTCTCTCTATCACTCTCATGAGTCATAACTCCATTAGTGCTGTCGACGGTGGCTCTGATTAATCTTCGAACGACAAATGGACTCCTTCAAGCCTTTTGTCGAACACCTGGTGTGCGGCTTGGGTTCACACACCAACCAACCATGGGGTCGCCTGAGCACCTCCACATCCGGCTTTCCGTCCACCATGGGGTTCCCTGACCCTCTTGTCTCTCTGTGCGTCCGCCCCTGCCTATGAAGGGCACCTATATTTTCCTGAGTTTTTTGCATTTTGCGTCTTGCCGTTGGTTGAAGGGTATATATGCTTTTGTCTAGGAAGAGATGCAAGTAGCAACAAACAACTACACCACTTTTCCCTGAACAAAAGTTTTAGACCAAAATCCTTCATATTCGAGCATCTCTGGTTGAATTCAGAAAGCAGAAGGAAATGGTTTCAAATTTGGGCTTGCAAACTAGGTTGCATATGCTTTCCCCCAACTCCAAGAGATCCATTAGGCTTGTTCAATCAATTGCAAGCAAAAAGAGGTGGAGACATATTTCAAAACCGAACAAAATAAAAATCGTACAAATACATAACATACACAATCGAAACAAATTGAAAACAAGGTACAATTGCTTCTGCAATTAGGCTTCCACCAGCATATATATATATATATCTACATTATTTTTATTGCATTGCAAATAAAGTAAATAAAAACCATTGTAAATTCACAAAGCTTTGATTAAACGACCTCATAAAACTGGAACAGTTCTAGTAGAAGTGGCCTGCTGCTCTGTCCCCTCTTCTTCTTCATTCTCACCAGTCAGCTCTTCAAGTGATTTTCCCTTGGATTCTGGCACCAACAGAGTAAACAGCATGCCGAAAAAGTTGATCACACCAAGCATAATTAGAGAATTCTTCACACCAATACCAGTTGGGTACCCTGCATCAGTCTTTGTATGGTCCTTGCTCTGTGCTGCATACAAAAACCCAAGTGCTCCAATAATAGCCCCAGCCTTCCCAGCTGCAGCTGATATACCGTGACACGTAGACCGCAACCTTGCTGGGAAAATCTCAGCTGGCACAACAAATGTGGTGGCATTGGGTCCAAAATTGGCGAAGAAGAAGGTGAATGAGTACATGACAACAAATGCAATTCTGTTGGGCTTCAAGGTCCAGTGGTGGTAAGGAATTGCTAATGCAAACATGAACACTGTCATGAAGAAGAAACCCATCAACTGGATTGCAAACCTGCCCAAGTAATCAATGAAGAAGACAGTGAACCAGTATCCAGGGACAGTGCTGCACATTGCTATGAGTGTTTGTGCTCTTGCAATTCTATAAACCTCATTAATTGCATTCATGCTCTCTGCTTTCGGGATCCACCCAATGGCGCTGAAGATATCCTTTTGGAAAAGGTTTTGGCTGTAGAAGGCAATGTCTAGCAAGAACCAAGTGGAAGTGGTGCCAAGCAAGTGAAGACCATGGCGACGAGCAAATTGCTTGGTGAACAAGCCAAAGGTATTGGATTTCTCTTGAGTAATTTTTTCTAGTTTTTCCTCTTCAGCTTCAAGGTCAACTTGCAACACCTTAGACATGTCTTGTGCAGCTTGCTTTGCATTTTTGGCCACAAGGGCTGTGTACCGAGCTGTCTCGGGCATTTTCATACGCCAGTAGTAAGTTAAAGCAGCAGGAAGAGCTCCAACCATCAAAATGATACGCCAAACATAGTCAGCTTGAGGCGCAAGAGAAGCAGCTCTGTCCACAGAGTATGCAGGAGCCTTGAAACTGTGATCGAACGCGGTTGACACAATCAAAGCCACAATCCCACCACCCAAAATCCCGAATCCTTGCATCGCAAACACCGCGGCTATAAACGCCCCACGAGTCTTTTTGTTGGCATACTCTGACATGATTGTAGCTGAAAGGGGATAATCACCACCAATGCCAAATCCAAGCCAGAACCGGAAGAAGCAAAGAGTGGTGATCACACCCTTTGGGTGATCAGAAAATGAAAGTCCTGATGCAATGGAGCATAGGACCATGAGAACAAGGGTGATCCCATAGACCTTTTTACGACCCAATTTGTCACCAAGCCAACCAAAAAAGAGCTGGCCTGCTAAGGTGCCACATAGAGCCACAGCATTAACAGCAGCAGCCACATTGGGAGGCAATGTGCCCGGCTTTGGCTGGTTTAGGTCCGTGTAGTATATGCGGCCGAGTAACTTGGTGACCAAAGAAATGCAGAACAGATCGTAAGCATCAGTAAAAAACCCCATTCCTGCAATCACAATTGCAGTGAAATGGTACAACTGAGTCTTGGCCACATCGAGTGCATTAAGCACTCCCAATTGCTCTTTAGCCATCGCTTGCTAGTAATTGCCTCCAACAGTCCACTGAAAATTAAATTGTTCTGCATATGAAAAATCAATAATCACTGCATCAGAAGCAAGAAATTACAAGAAACATATTGTTTCTGTAACTTAATTGACCATATGATAAATAAAAAATAATAAAAAATTCCCATCATTTTTTGGTGACCCCAGACCAATCAAAATCATAACTTTCTAGAAGCATACGACTTGGAGGAAAAATTAGCTCATGACTGTGTGTTACTGTGAAGAAGGAAAGAAAGACATGACATGGGAACCAACCAAGTTTTCTTCTAGCTTGTAATCACTTTGACATAAGGGGGAGCAGGATGTTGAATTTTGAAAGGAAATGCTTGTTTTCATTAACTGCAGTCTGCAGGTCTGCATCGATGGAATTGATGGACCAACTACTTCGCTCAGCTCACACAGGCCATTTTTTTGTTTGCAAACTTTGTATTATAGTACATGCACCGCTGGTTTTTTTTTTTGGTCAATGCACCGCTGGTTTTGTTTATAGCGTTTTGGCAAATTGACTGGTTGACTATTGACTTCAAAGGAGGAGTAAATTTTTTTTATTTTAAACAGATATATTTTTGTTTTTCAAATTCGATTCAAAACGTCATCCAGAAGTGACATATCCTAACTTCTCAATTATTGTACCAAAGATAAAAATTTCTCATTCCATAATGTACGTAGACTTTTTCATATAAAGACAAAATAATATATGTAAAAAAAGGGAGGAAGAATCAACAAAGTATTTTTTTATTTACAGAAATTAAATGGTAGGTTTTATGGGATTTGAATGAATGAAGACAGAAAGGGGAACATCAAGGGCCTGCCATATGGGGCTAAATTCCAAGTTGCAAGTTGCAGGCATACTCCATGAATGGCTTTAATTGAACAAGAGAAAAAACAGAGACAGAGAAACAAACACCACATATTTTTTGGTCCAGAAACTGGAATTCATATCATTTGTGTGAAAAAAAAAACAAATCAGAACTGAGGAAGTTTCAAAATTTCCAAGGAGTCGGTCCTAAGTGAGGAAATATTTTGAAGTATGGTGCATGTGGGACGAGGGAGGAGGAGAAACACTTGTGTGGACCGGAGATAACACTATTTTGCTATATTTGTCCAATCACAATATGCCAAGTGGAAAAGTTATCGCTCGTGGCATACCGTCGTTGACCGGAGATAGCAGTTTCACACAAGTTTTTCTGGACAAGGCAGACCCCAAGTGTGCTCAGAACAAGCAAGCTCTGGTTCATGAGCGTTTGTTCTAATTATGGTATTATTTTCTTGGTTGATCCAATGAAAAGAAACATTTGAAGTATGTTTTTCCTAACAGAAAATAAGAAAAATTCAGCAACACAGAGGCTAAAAACAGCCCTTAAAAGTAGGGCTTCAGTGTGATATGGCAACCTCCTCTGGTTGGATACATAAACCCTCAACTTCCAATGGAAGATCAAGGGGCTGCCCTACCATGATGATCACCTTTTACCTTGAAAAAGTAAAAGTCTATCTACTTTAAGTGGTCCTGGTTTCCAAATTAAGAAACCAGTTCCAAAAATCATGGAACTTAACTGGTAGGCTTTCATTTGATTTCATGCATCAAAGTCTGAAAACTTTGCAGGTACAAATCAAGAGAAAACAGAGATTGCAGGAACTAACCTGCTTCTTGAACTCAGCATTTGGAGGAGGGAGAAGAAGATGTTGCCGTGCTGTTGGGTTATGGCGTGGATATTAATGAGCAGAGTAGCTGACTATTTAAAGCGTTACTGACCTTAGAATCAATTCTAGCATCTTTAGGCATATACTTGGCTTCAGTTGCTGGCGCAGCTTCTTGGGTCAACTCTTTAACAAAGTCTCTCTCTATCTCTTGCTTCTTCATTTATTTATGATTAAGTTCATTATCTTAGAAATAACCACACGGTTTCTTCTTTGGCAATTCCCTGGTTATTATTTTGTAATTACAAGTTTCCAAGGATTGTCAACATCAATTTTATTAGAGGGGTAATTGCAGATCTTTTAGCAAATATAGGACATAACTTTTTACAGCCTTGTGCCTGGTTTTCTAATTTTCTTTTTAGCGTAGTACTTAATATCTATTTTAATATCTTTTTAGCGTAGTCTTTGTAAGTTCCTTTATTTTGTACCCAAAAAAAAGAATAATTGAACACGGAACTTCGAATGCAAAACAGAATATTGTTAACCACTTGGTAAAACCATTAGCTTTGTGATGAAGGCAAAAGATACAAATCAATCATTGGAGTATAAGTCACAAAAGAATAAGGCCAGAACCCGATGCAATGGTAGCAAAAATGAAGCCTAGTGTCAAGCCATTCCATTATATTTTGAATTGGGTTGCTTGCTCTTACCAAGTTGCATATAATAATGGAAGAGTAGGAGGGAAACTTGGTATTCCAAATTAGAATACTAATTCCATCGTCGTCATCTTATAATGCTCTTTCTAAAAATAATTTCTTGCCGGATTTCATGCCAGTCATGTTCTAATTTGTAAAAGGACATGGGTAACTCGAAAAGGACTTTTTAACTCCTGCCAGTGATGCAAGCAAACTACATATATATAAAAGATGGCTAACTGTTTTTTTTTTGGTTGCCAAAGTTAGGAAGAGAAAGGGGAAATTTTCACACACATTGTCAAGGTGTTTTGAGGATTCGAACATGAGATCATTGGTTTACAAGTCAAGGTCATTTTCTATTGAGTTAAATTCCGTTAGCAAAGATCATTAACTGATTAAGTATTTAGAAGATAGGAAACCATGTAATTAAATTGCTTTTTGGTTTAAGGATTGAACTTGAAAAGTCTAGGCGCACCTTTTTACAAGTGGTTCTACTTCCATTCATTATTTCTATTGGGGACCATACTTGGAGGTGTGTCATGTCACGTGTGTTTGCCTTTAGGAGTGCAACATGAAGTGACTTCCATTTTTGAACTTTAAACTGTGACAATAGAAATAATAAAAAAAAAAAAAAAAAAAAAAACAGAGTCGAAAAATACTCAGAAAGGGCCCAAGGCAAAAGCCCTAGATCACCTCTATTTGTCGGATCTGATGGGTTTTTGTTACTTGTACAGACAGTTTCTCAACCAGCTGGTAACAAAAAATTTAATCTTAGTTTTGGATTTTGTTCTCCGCCTTTATATAAGAGAACAAAAACATGGAACAAATGGTAAAACCAAACAAAACCTATCTAATGTTTGCCAACAATTTCCAAGCAACTTCCAACCAGACTGTATACAAAGACAGACATCCAAGGACTATGAAGAAAGTTGAGGGAGGGGAGCCCACAAGTGGGAAACCTCCAACATTTTTCCCCAGAAGTATATGGGTATTTTCAAGGTGAACGTATAAAACGGTTTGATGGAACTAAGTTTAGGGAGTTGGTAGCAATCGCATCACAGGAAGTTAGCCTAGCACAAGTCACCATCGAACTCAGGTGCAAAGCATCCAACACACTGTCCTAGCCAATTGTTCATATAAAATATGATTAGCCGTTAGTATTAAATATAAATTTATATGTCCACCATTGACCGACTGATGAACATCTAGATGATAACGATTTATCCATGACCTAATGATGACGCAGAATCTTATAGGCTTTATATATGAGCTTAATATTTTATTTGGACAGCTGTGCAGACAGCAGGGCTCAATCGTTTTAGCCTAAATCCAATGTGCAGTGCATTGTTGCGGGTCTAGTAAGTTAGCCACTCGACTGACCCCTTCACAACACGAATGGCCATCCACTCTCTCCTCTAACACCACCCACCAACCTACGTTTTTTCACAATAAGGTACATGCCCCAGGTTTTTATTCTCTTCTCTATCTTTCTCTCATCACATGAGTGTAACTTCAAATAAGCGTCATCTCTCACGTGAAGAGTGCCATACAAAGAAAAAAGAGGGCGAAAACCCAGTGCGAGGAAGTTATCCTCTACATACAGGCTTGAAGTACGTAATTTATGGTCTTCAAAGTCTCGAAGATAATTATAATTTAACAAAAGACTGGCAAAAATATATGTTATTTTTAAAATTTTGTGAAAAACTGGCAGATCTGCCATTACCCACAATGTCTATTTTCTTTAAAATATATATATATATATATATATATATATATATATATACAAGGTGGTATCTACATATATACAGATCTAGCAAAACTAGTTGTATATTAAATCTTTTATAGTATGAAAATGATTGCACTGTACATACAGGTAATCTTCAAAACAAGGTCAATGAAAATCACTGCAAACCCATGCCATACCAATTCAAGTCTTGACATGAACTGTCTAGTTAATGGAGTCTAACCCAGTAGAAAAGAGTATTGATTTATAGACTAGTGGTCTCAGGTTCGAACTCCTATAATCCTTGGTAGTATGTGTGTGAATTAACCCTCTCTCCCATTTGTAATTTAGACTATAGCTTGTGTTAAAATAAAAATAAAAAGTCTTAATTCAACCATCATTCTTGAAGAAAAAAAAATAAATTAAATCAGACACCATTTAAACATTAAATCATTATTATGAAATTTCAGTTGGTTTATCTACTTTCTTATAGTATGTTTCAACAATTATCGATTTGACTAATTTTTCTTGGGAGAACGGATTTTTGAATAGAGATTTTTGTGTGGTTTTGGGTGACAAGAATTAACATAGATGGTTTCAAATTAATTGTTTCAACAATGCCGACGCACACTAGAGGAAGCTTAACTTCAGCTAAAATAAAGTCACAATTCCAAAGTCATAACAAAATATTTGTATCTTTAAGAGAGAGAGAGAGAGAGAGAGAGTTGATGACAATATGCAAATCCTTGGAGGTGTTGCCATTGCCAACGTCACGTACGCTTGCGGTGTTGTTATCTCCTTTTTCAAGCAAAACGTTACGTTTTTATTTCTCTCTTTGTTTGTTTGTATTTTTTTTCCTATGGGCTGCTGAACCCAGCAATGGATGGAATACGGCGGAATGAAAAGATGTTGGGAAACATTTCTGAATCTTTGCTTGCCTGATGACACAGGAATTAAAGGTCAAAAAGCAAATTTTAGTTTTATTTATATGTTTGGCTGGTTCAGGAGGATACATGTTAAAGTCAAAGTATATAATATTTTGTTCTTCAATCGCTGACTGAATTTAAAATTGGTGCCAACAATGTCAACCATTATTTATTCTGTACAAAAAATAAAATGTCAACTATATAATATATAGGTATCTGCAAAATGTTGAAATTAAACTGCTAAATTGGGGGCATAATATGAAATTGATTATAAGGTCTTTAAGCACACCAAGTTGGTAAACTGCAAGCACTACATATCTCTTCTTTTTTAATTTAGAAATTCTTGAATTGCATTTATAATTCAGCTAAAAAACCTATTAACCACAAGGCCATTACAAAAGAGTCAACTAGCCACGAGCACTACATATCTGGATGCTTATCAAATGGACCACCTAATAAAAACTCCCGAAAATAAATTAATTAAAAGGGTCGACCAAACTGATGAGAGAAGAAGATTTTACTTTCCCATAAACAAAAAAAATTTACATGTAACGGGAATAACACTGTTTTGCTATTTCCGACTAATAACACAATGACATATAGAAAAATTATCCTATGTATCATAGCGTTATTGACCGAAAATAACAAAAAATATTATCATGTTACATGAGAGTTTCTCTCATCTTTCAGACAACAACATCTGAATAGATTTGGGATGTTGTCAGATGATAGATGACATGCATATTTTGTATATGCTGGGCCATGCAAATATCAAATTATAACCATTTTTTTCAAATATTGTCTCAGGTTCGATTTTCTCGTTCCGACATGAAAAAGAATAATAAAAAAAGTTGTGCCAAACATCAATTCCCCACCTCTTTGGCTGTGGATAGGCCCACCAAACATGAATTAACGCGTAGGACCAGTTGCCTTGCTATAATCAAATGAGCCGAAGAGGGATTTCCCCCAATATATTAAGAGAGAAATCACAACATTTAGGGTAGGGGATAAATGCTTTTTTTTCCCTTTCAAATTGTTAGGGGTTTTTTTTTATTTTAATTATAAATTTTTATAAATTTATTTTGATTTTATTTTATAAATTTGAATATAAAAATGTACTAAAAAATGTTTATTTAACAACAAAGGAAGCTAGTAAATTTTTACGTAACAATTTACTAGCTCATTTTAGGAAAGTGAATAATGCACGTGAGTTAAGAGTGGTGAGTAAAATCGGACTCAAAATAGAATAGATTGATGAGGAGGAAACAGTTGAAATCTCATATTGGATATGTGTGAACAAAGCTAATTACTATTGAAGTGGTACGGGGAAAACGCTGAGGTTATGGATGAGTCTGTTAATCTGGACTTCTTAATGAAATTATTATATAGGTTAAAATTTGGTAAGGGTTAAGAAAACTACTTGAAATGACAAGGATGGAGTCGATAGGTGTCGAGATCATGCATTCTATCTCTACTAGACTGCTACATACAACTTGAACATAGTCCAAAACATTAAAGTTCAATAATAAGAGCCTGGCATGCACACCTATCATTTGATGTTATAAGGTTCTTAGATACCGGGTTAAATGTGGATTGAATGCAGTATCTAAGAGCTTTACAACATCAAATAATTAAGTGGGTTAAGAGCATTTACTCTTGCATATGAGGTCCTATGTTCGATTCCTCCCTCTTCCAACAGAAAAAAGAAATCTGTTTTGTTAACATTTTGTTTTTCTTAATTCCAACGTTTTACACCATGTCTCAGGAATAAAATATCCCCATTTCCAAATTCCTTTCGTATAATTTTATCTTACCAAAAATTAGAATAATAGGTTGCTAATCTTTTGTACAAAAAGCATATTAATTAGTCAAGCAGTGTCACAATTCACCACAAACCAAAAAGACATACAGTATACGATAAAGCTATAGATAAGATTCGAGCACAGCACAAAAAAGTTCCCACAACAATCCCAAACCCAACAAAGAAATCTAGAGAGTTTGAATTGTTGACTTAAAATCCAAATCGTTTAGGTCCAATTTCAATTCCAATTCCACAATGTAGTGCTAGGTTAACGTGAGAATCGTTCACTTAATCAAATCACCTGACAATAACTTGAGTCAGTTTGATGTTGTTGATAAGGGCGGAATCATAAATTTTTATAGGGATGAGCTATCATTTCTTGTATGGATAAGATTTAAATAAAATTTCATTTATAAGAGAAAACTTGAAGCTTGAAATCTCTGAAATATATATAGCTAACCGGAGATCTGCTTGGATAAGACAGACTAATTTTTGCTTGAGCGGGCTAGGCTAATTTTTGTGATTTGAGGTGTAATGTCTTAAAGTTAGTACTAAATTTTATTTTTCCCAAACATTGCACTACGCTATAGCCCACCTATTCATGGTGTAGTTCCACCCTTGGTTGCTGAGAAGAAAGCATCTAGAGAGCACTCACCTAATTTGGGACAGAACATGAAAGCCAGAAGCAATGCATGAGGACGAGGGCAAAGCCAATATCGGGTTTGGCCAAGTCAACTTGATCTACTACATTAAGTCAAAAAGGCATCACATACCATTAAAGAATCCCCATCAGAACAATACAAGCTCGGAATAATTCTTTTTTTTTCTTTCTTGCAGAATGAAGGCCGAATACAATTTGAAATGAAAGTGGTCCATCAAGGAATCAATGGAGTCTTTATCACAAGACTTTGATCATAACTTTTTGAGGTCCGCGGTTAAAGTATAAGTCGTGCAAGATTAGGATGGATGGATTGTGATGAAATGGATGGATAGGTCAAAAGGAAAATTTGGACCAAAAACCTTATGAGAAAATAGTGCTAGGCCCAAGTAGCCCCACAGCCTGTCATGTGGTGCTTACAAGGAGACAATTCAATTATCAATAAGACCTTCTTAGGACACCCATTATTTGTTAAATTTAAGATAAATGTCAGAGAGACGGGCTACTAACAACACCGATATTGTCCCCAACTTAACCACCTATAAAACCCAACAGGTGGGGTGTTTTATTATAAAAGATCTCGGTATTATTAGGAGTGGAACCACTTATTATAAGTTGTAATTTATTTAATCAAGTTTTCAATGTGGGACTTTTATATCTTCAAAATACACAACAAACAATTCAATCCCAAATTTCCTTTCAACTTTATTTTCGTTCTATGCTTAATACACAGATTGAACAAAGAGGAGAATACTGACAGTGAGTCTTACAACTGTAGACTGTTATTATTTAACATGGAAATGCAAGACCCAAATAACAAAAAAAAGAAAGAAATGATTCAACCCAACTCTTTTTCCAACTTTCCCCACTCTTACATGGAAGGTTTTACAGTCTCACTTCATATGATTGCAGATTCTCCACGGAAGATCTTCTGCACTCTTCCTAGCTGAAGGAATTTGCTAAATTTGTGTTTGTCCCTTGTGTTGAAAGCAATCAGGACTTCTAAAATTGCAACCTTATTACCTATGTCCAACCTAAAGCAGATATTTTCTTCAGGATCTCCTATCGCATACCTTACGCCATTGCACCAAGAAACGACTGGAAGAAAAAGAAAAAAACACATTTTAACAAGGCATGCAAGTGTCAATTATGAAGTGAAGGTTCATGAAAGCATAAATATAAATTCCAGTACAAAATGCAACAAAATGCGGCCAAAACATGAAGGAAGGAAAACAATGGACTCACTCACAATGCAGCCAAGTTTAGATACTTGCAAGAACATTGGTACCAATAAATAAGGCTAGGGTCATTCTTTTAAAAATAAAAACTTATAAAGGTTTTTACAACCAAACATCTAAACACACACTCGAACCACTGAGAACAGCAAGATCCTATGCCTTGTAACATAGACCATAAATTGAAATGTTTCTACAACAACATGACTCAACAGAACAAACCTACAATTGCAATTCAAGATGTGATATCACATTGGTACCCATGCCTTAGAAACCGTTTTTCTTTAGAACCCGTTAATATTATTTTGCTTAATTGCCCCGGGGTCTCTTCGGCAAGCGGAAGCAACAGGTCCAAGGTACCATAACACAGTTTACTGAATGATGCATTCATCTATGGATGTACAGTGCTTTTCTGTGCTCAAATCAGCATGGACGATAGTTGGAAAATGTTTCTATATAATTTGCTATTCCTCTTGTATCAGTTGCAAACAAGTAAACATATGTTGCCTTCATTATACACTCAACAAAAGATTCAGAAATTGGGTGAGACAGATGAACATACCTTGGCTTTCATTGTAGTACCCGGCTTAGCTGAAGCTCTACTCCCAAAGCCAAACTTTGGCTTCTTTTCAGCAGGTTTCAATATCTGGAAAGAGCACATAAGAGACTCATCCACGCTCATCATTGCCCCAGCATTGTCAAACTCACCACAGTAATTAGGTGCTGAAAATATTGTCACAAGTTGTCTGTTGGCAAAGAACTCATATCCATCTTCGACAACCTGAAAATTAAATGATATCCAGTCAATGGAAGACACTCTAGGTTGTGTGATTTTGGCAAATTCTCAAATTAAAAGATATATAAGACCTGGTGAGCTCGGCAAATTAAATCTAGATCATGCTTCTGAAGAAACTCCGTCACCCTATCAGCACCAAAGGTAAAGGAAACTCCCCTCTCATTTGGTCCCCAACCTTGAATGTCTTTGCTAGGATCAGACCACAGGAGATCACATAGCAAACCACTGTCTGGGACATCAGTAGGTCGCTGTAAACTCTTAATCTGATTTAAATTGTTTAACTCAGGAGATAGTCCGCCATGCATGCAGAGAATTTTCTCATCAATGAGAGCTGCCACAGGAAGGCAGTTGAAACATTCTGTAAATACTTTCCAGAGTCTGACATTAAATCTTCGTTTACACTCATCAAAAAACCCATATATTCGGTTTATTGAAGCACATTCATGGTTGCCCCTCAGAAGGAAAAAGTTCTCTGGATACTTTATTTTATATGCAAGGAGAAGGCATATGGTTTCAAGGCTTTGCTTCCCACGATCGACATAATCCCCCAAGAACAAGTAGTTGGAGTGAGAAGGTAATCCGCCAAACTCAAAAAGCCTCAGAAGATCTGAATACTGACCATGGACATCACCTGGGTGACATTAAGAAACTCATGTGAAGACAGATAATCAGAATTGTAGTTTTAATAATATAGAAAGATGTAATTACAGATAGATAAACAGATTACGAATGAAATTATCAAGAACTCATCCCATGCACGATTGTAGCTGCACAAGATATAACAATCCTACTCACGTGAAGACAGATAATCAGAATTGTTGTTTTAATAATATAGAAAGATGTAATTACATATAGATAAACAGATTACGAATGAAATTATCAAGAACTCATCCCATGCACAATTTTAGCTGCACAAGATATAACAATCCTACACTGGAGGATTTCAAAAAATTACACTACAGTTGGGGGGGGGGGGGGGGGGGGGGGGGTGGTGTGGGGGGTGGTGTGTGGAGTTTTAGTAGTGTGACATAACATCCATATAGACCTCTGCTCACCAGGGAGAAGAATATCCCTACACTTCAAAAAGTGAAGTGGTGCCAACTAGGGAACACAAAAAGAATTGAAGTTATAGGGTTGTGGTTAGTAGTGATAATTGGCCAGCAAATATTCCCAAGCCCTCAAGGCCTCAAGTACACCTTTCCATAGCTCAATGTTGTATAATGCTTAAACAAATTGAAAGTCAAATGGTAATAAAGTAGACAGAAGAGAAGCTTTTACAGGAAAGAAAAATACACAGAAGACGAACAATAGAGCAATATCAAAAGATACCACTAGGCATTTACTTGTCCATACATCTCGAATCCAATATGAATACCAAGTTTTCAGAGTTTCCAAAGATCTTCGCAGCCATGTGATTCTTCCCTTTAGTCAAGTGAAGATTAGGGACTCAGCTTGTTATGATTTGGGAATAAAAATTGTGGGGGAAAAGGGCTAGTTATCAAGTTTAACTCGAGAATTGAGTATAAAGATGACATATTTTAGCACGATTGTTAATCACTTTATGATGGAATGAATCACAACTTATTAATCTTCAGATTTGATAATAACCCAGTTCAAGCCAATAAAAATTATCCACACCCAGAACAAGCAGACTACTATTTATTTATACCCAGAACAGAGTTTTCATATTCAAACTCAAAATTTATCAAACCACCAAACAAAAAACATATTAGAAATAATATAAGACAAAGGAGAATATGGGGTTCATGTAAAAATACCACAAATCTTGATAGGAGCATCAAGCTCCAAAAGATTAGGCTGCCTCAAGAAAATATCCTTGGATACAAAACAAAGTTGCCTTATCTCAGCCTCCTGGAGCTGCACTTGTTTACCTGGTCTCCCTCTAACTGCAAGAAGCCTATTAATTATACTATCAAGAACACCAGGTTCCATCTCGCCCCTAACAAAAATGAAATCTTTCAACAAGCAGAGAACAAAGCAAACCCGAAAAGCAAAGCCCAAGTATAAGAATAAAGAGCAGTGCTCTGGCCTTCTAGAGCCCCAAAGACTTTCATTCCTTAGAGGAAAAAACAGAAAAGTTAGAGGGACTGTGAGCTTTAAATCAAAATGGATAGGGAGGAGATTTGGGTTCCTTCTTGAGCTTTAGAAAAACGAATGGTGCACACTGAAATAAAAAGCAAAGAATATATTCCTTGAAATCTTTGTTTCTTTGGAGAAGAAAGTGGAGAGCAGGGAATGAATGAGAGGGGAAAAGTGGGTTTGTGAGTGCGGAATATGGACCCCTAACAAACCAGAAAGATGATGCAGAAGGCCACCAATTTCGAGAAAAACTACTATGAAACTGGGTCAGTGAGCACTTATGCGGCAGCACACCAATTTCACACGCACACACACGGCGGTAAGTTCATCGTACGCCTCTTTTCTCTCTCCCACTTATTTTTATAAAGGTTTAATTTCTACCGTACGTCCCGGAACATTATGAGCATTTTTGTTTACTATTTTAACTTAAGGTGTATCCTTATCACTATTTTAAAAACTTGACACATGTACATGTGTAAATCACAGTTAACAATATACTTATAAGTCTTTTAAAAAATTATTTAAAACCATAAAATAAAATAACATTAAAAAACTCTTTCATTCTCTCTCCCCTTTCCTGACCCAACCTAACCCAACCCAACCCAACCCAGATGCCCTATACCCCCTCATCAAACCTAGCCACCATTTCTCGATGTTTTCGCCGTCGTTGTGGCTATTATGTGAGAAGTAATCTGTGATCTCTTTGTGCCCAAATTTCCTAACCTTAGCACCACAGTCAAACGTGGTGACTTCATATTTGTCTCCGTTCGTTGCTTTTCCGGCTTCGGATATGGAATCTCATTTAGATTTGAGCCGGGCTTGGAATTTGTAAGATCTCCTCTTACCACTGCAGGGCATCTTGAAACATACCTCCCTTTCTCTATTCTCACAAGAAGTTAGGATTTTCCCCAAAACTAACTTTCATTGAAATCTTTTTTTTTTTAAAGGTTTGGATGCTTTCATTGGAATCTTATTTTCAAGAGTCTCAAATGTAACTAATTAATTTCAATTCAAGGATACTATTATGTATATGTGTGTTGGGTGGGTGGTGGATGTAGAGAATTGGGCATTTGGGGTTGTGTGTGGGTTGGGAACGAGAAGGAGGAGGGGGATGGGGAGAGAGGAGAAAGTATTTTTTTTAATAATAAATATTATTTTACTTTATTTTATTTTATGATTTTAAATACTTAAAAGATTTAAAAATAATTTATTAACTATGGTTTACACATGGGCAGGTGTCAAGATTTTAAAATAGTAGTGAGGGTACACCTTGAGTTAAAGTGGTGAGCAAAAATGCTCCTTGAAACACTAGTTCAATTCCACTTTACCCATTTAAAGTTAAAGTGACCCACTTTGCCTCATTGACTAGGGTTTCATGTGTCACTTCCGTCAACTTCATCCCAAGCTCCATTAAAATGATGATGTGGCATGGGTATATTGGTCAATTAATTTCAGCTTGCATATTTCTCACCAATATGAGTTGGTGACGTGGATTTGTAGACCCCACCTCGAACAAAAGTCATTTTGACTGCTGATGTGGGTTTAAGATTTGCAACCACTAGCCTATTTAGGAAAGCAATTAGAAACTATTCAATTATAAACAGGAGGTTAATTAAATTCAAATGAAATTATTGTAATATGGTGAGGGCAGTGTGTAAAGGGAATTCTTGATGGGTTTGTTTTGCTTCTGCAGTGAATGAGTTCAAGTGAATGTTGATGAGTATGATTGTGGGACAGTTGAGCAAAACTTTCATGCTAACTCAACATGGTTAGCTTAGAGATATGCTACTCAACTATCTAGAATTCATAATTGGGATATGAGATCTTTTAAACAGTAGGTACAAGAAGATCTTAGTGTGATAGCTTCCAAATCCCATATTTATAGGGCAAAGCATAAGGCAACAGCCATAAGTGAGGGGACTTATAAAAAAACAGTATGAGTTATTGTGGGATTATGCTGTTGAACTAAGAAGGACAAATGTGGGGAGCACAGTAATTATCAAATGTGAGTTGGAAGGTGAAAGGCCAAGGTTTCAGAAGATTTACATTTTCTTGGTTGTAGTTAAACACAGTTTTTTGCAGGGATGTAGGCTAGTGATAGGATTTGATGCTTGTCACATCAAAGGTCATCAACCTGGACAATTACTATTTGTTGTTGCTGTGAATCCCAACGACGACATGTATCATATTGCATATGCAGTGGCTGAGGTGGAGAATTATGAAACATGGTCTTGGTTTTGTCAATTGTTGAATTAAAAACAACTCCTATGTCTTTATCACATACAAGAAAAAAGGTTTGATTGATGCAATAGATGATCATTTTCCAAATGTTGAGCATATACACAGCCTAAACACTTAGAAGCAAATTTTATGCTTGCTGGTCACAGAGGATTGGTGTTGAAATTGCAAATGGAGAAAATTGCAAGGAGCACAACCATCCCATGGTGGGATGTTGAGATTAAAAAAAATGAGAAAGTTGAGCCAAGCTGCATTTGATTGGGTGACGGCCTTAGATCCATCACAATGGTGTGGAGCTTACTTTAAAACTCATTTCAAGCGTGACATCCTTTTGAATAATACGTGTGAGACTTTTAATGGTGCCCTTCTAGAAACCAGAGACAAACCCATTTTAACCATGCTTGAGAGGATTAGATACTATATTATGTTGTTGATGGAAACTAGAAGAGCATCTTCAGAGAGATGGAAACATGGCATAGGTCCAAGGATTTTTAGCATTTTGGAGAAGACGAAGAGAGAAGTAGCTTAGTGCATTCCATAGCTTGCTGGGCAGAATTTATATGAAGTGAAAAACCATGATGGAAGTTAGGATGAGGTTGATTTGGCAAGGAACATTTGATCATGTAGGAGATGGGATATCACAAGGATCTCATGCAAGCATGCTTGTGCTGCCCTTTGACAATTAAGTGGTGATCATATTGCTTATGTTAATGATTGTTACAAGAAGGAAGCCTTTATAAGAGCTTATAGTCCAATGGTACACCCAATGACAAGCGAAGACTTGTGGCCTAAGTGTCATAGGCCTCTTTTGCTGCCACCACTATATCACAAGCAACCTAGGAGACCAAGGAAGAAGCGGATGAGATTAGTAGGTGAACCACCACAAACCTTTAATCCTAAAGCCACCAAGTTGCAGAGGTATAACTTGGAAACCTCCAAGTGTTCAGTTTGTAGATATGGAGGCCATAATATGAGGAGCTACCTTAAAGCAAAAGAAGGTAATAGTAGTTAGGTTTGGCTATTCTCTTACATTGTAATTATAATTGTTTTAGATCTTTAATATTTTTTATTTATGTTATTCTCTTCTTATGTCAAGTCCCATCTAAACCAAGGGTGAAGAAAAATAATTGTCACCACATCAACCAAGAGGGTTACAAGACAATCAAGAGACAAGTAACCTGTAAGTGACTTTCCTTTGATAAATGTTTAGAGAAATAATAGTATTTTATGTAGTTGATATAAATTGCCCTGTGCTTCAATTTTTCGGTCAAAAGAAGGTTGGAAACTGGCCAATGTTCTCAAACTGGCCAAGCTTCTCAAACTGGCCAATGTTCTCAAGCTGCCCAAGCTTCTCAAACTGCCCATGCTTCTCAAACTGTCTAACATTCTCAAACTGTGCAAGAATCTCAACCAATTACAAGCTCATCATAGCATATTGGCACTGGTACAAACAAAAAAAGAGGTTCAAGTCTCCTACAAAGAGGAATAAATTTACCAATAAGAAGGATGCTTCTCAAACTGTGCAAGGATCTCAAACTTCCATTAGAAGTTAATATGTGCAAGGAAGTCAATTTGTGCAATCTGTGCAAGCTTGTTCAAGTTCTCAAACTATGCATAGATCTCAACCAACTACAAGCTCATCACAGCCTTTTGGCACTAAAAAAAAAAAAAAAAAAAAAAAAAAAAAAAAAAAAAAAATTCCAAATACCAAAAGGAATAAAATTAAAGAATAGGATTAACACAAAAATGGGTGGATGGTAGGAGAGTTTTGGACAGTCTTGGAGATTCTTGATGATATGATGCAAGTTTTATGTGTTTGTGTTAAAATGGCTCTTATTAAACTGTTAATTTGATGATGTGCACGTCTTGTGATTTGGCTGAATTGACTCTTTAGAAGAGTTTTTCATGTATTATATTTTGATGATGTGCAAGTGTTGGATGATGCTTAAATTGATATATTGCAAGTCCAACCATTTAGGACAAACCTTATTAGATATCTCGTAAAATATATCAAGTACTAATATTGATTTTCATCAATGTTTCCAGATTGAAAGTAATGTTATAAATTGTTGTTTTGGTATTTGTGAGGAATTGTTATGTTCAAAACTATTGTTTTGGTAATTGTTAAGAAGTGTGTACTGTTGTTTTGGTAATTCTTTTTATATTCATTACATAAGTACTAGAATAATGCTAATTATAAAACTGCCTCCCACATTATATTCAAATATCACATTTAATAGATAAGTACCAATACAAGATTTGTTACAAAAACAGTTGCAAAATACACCCACATCACCCTAATTCATCCATCATCACCCTACTTCAGTTGCAAAATACAGACTTCCAAAATCACCATATTTCATCCATCGCCAACCTCTAATGGCCTAATTATGTCACAAGTTTTGCAGAAACTACAAAAACAACATAATTACTAAACCCCGTGTGTTTAGGCTCAAAAAATCCAAGGTTGGGCCCAAATAAATTTCTAGCCCAATACAATACTCAATCGAGAAAGAAGCCCGACAAGAGTATGGAAGACTTTGTCTTATGCCCTTGGACAAGTTATGGTCTGCATGCAATGCCAAGCCAATACGCAACCTGCCACGCAAGGAGGTCGCAACAAGCCTGTAAAATGTACTAGTTCCATGAACCCGCTCTCATTGTCCTGTCAAGCACCGCTTGACCCGTCCATAGCCTGTTACAATAAGGCAGAGCCTGAGCACAAACACGCCACACGACACTCAACATCAAACGAAGAAAACCTTTATTTTAGTACCAAGCCACACTACAAGCTTAAATGGGCCCAAGCCATGCAAATGTCTGGGGTTTGCTAAGTATGTTGTGGTATGGATGATTACGAGTGTTCATAAGGCCCATTGATAGTCCAAGAAATGGAAGTTTTAGGCTGCTTGGGAGCACCAAGCCCAGGCTCATTTCTTAGCCCAAATATATGGGTAAGGATAAGAGAGAAAAATAGCCTTGCACCTTAGATAAATGGCCTAGCACCTTAGAAAATATCCCAGCGCCCTATTAAAACCAAATCAAAACTAAGCCATCGTTAAAACCAAGTGAAATCCATGTGCATGGCTACTGGAAGTGAGACACCTTTTAGACCAGCACCTTTACCCATTCTTTCCTCTACAAGCGTTGGTAGGAAAATCATGAGGAAAAGTAAGAGGCGCCTCACCCAAGATGGAAGAAGTCAGCTGTAAGAAAACCATGAAGCCCCAAAATGCTCTACCCCAATGTGCTTGAATTAAGGAATTTTCAGCAAAAAAGATTGAATCGAAGGAAGTAAAGGGAAATGGAGTTGAAGACTTGGTAAAATTTGGGGAAAGGTAGCTAGGGTTCCTGAACCAGAAGGGGCTTCCAGTGCCTATAAAAGGGGGCACCTCCTACCCAGTAAAACAACCATCCAGAGCACGACGAAGCAATCGTCAAGCTGCTGGAAGATCTACTCAAGTCACCCATCCTTTTATCCTCATCTTTCCCTATCTTCCCTCATCAAAATATTCTCAAATTTCCCTTTCCCCTTGCTCTGAACCCCTGTTTCCTATAAGAAATCCAAGCTTTCTCTCTCTATTGCTAAACTCATTGAGGCTTAGCTCTCATGCCACAAGCTTCTCAAGCCAAGTCATAATATTGATCTGTAATAGTTGTCTGTCTCAATGGTGAAAGGAACCAAATGTGTTGCTGCATCCAGCTCTTCCCCTCATTCAATTATTTCAGGCTTCATCTTAAGTTTTCGTGGAAACCCAACCTATGATTTCTAGAGTTTTATCGTCTTCTATGGGGAGGAAGTGAAATTGAGGGTGTTTTTTTTGGCACCAATGAGCTCAATTGGGGTTTAATAACGTGGGCTGTCGAGGATCTTTTGTTCCAAGTGGGGTCCACATTGCCACATCAGCAGTCAAAACGACTTTTGTTCGAGGTGAGGTCCACAAATCCACGTCACCAACTCAGATTGGTGGGAAATATGCCAGCTCAGATGAACTGAACAATATACCCCTACCACGTCATCATTTCAATGGAGCTTGGGATGAAGTTGATGGAAAGTGGTTAAGTGACACATGAAACCCTAGTCAAGGGACCAAAATGGGTCACTTTAACTTTAAAGGGGTAAAGTAGGATTTGACCAATGTTTCAGGGTGCATTGTAGCAATTAAGCATTTAGTTAATTATTCTTGTTTTTTAGCCTTAGATATTCAGGCCCAGCCTTGAATAAGGGTAGTTAGTGCGACTTCCCCGGGCCCATTATTCAAGGGGGCCCAAATTTTTATTTATTTATAAGTGCTATATTATATTATTACAAATTGATTTAATATTTTTGAGGATTAAAAAAAAAAAGATGCCGTTCATCTCTTCCACTCCTCAAGAAGAACCCTTTTGTGCTAACTGTTCCACTCCTCCAAGTTAACGTTATCTATTCTAAATTTTTCTTCTTATTCTTCTTTTTCCTCTTCTTCTTCCCATCTCATCTCATCTTATCTCATCTAAGCCTCTCCTACTAGTTCCAGAGTTGTGAATCCCTAAATAATTTTTTGTTGGTAGTTTGGGGATATTCCGAGATCCAAAGTGTGGGCTTTTGTACAGTGCAAAATTGGTCTTTACATAAATCAATTGAAGGTAATTTTTCTTGATTTGATATCAAATAAAAAGGAAAATATGATTTTTTGTTTTGCTTTTGTTTGTAGATTCATGAGTTACACATTCTCTTCGCATGAATTCCTCTAAGCTCTAATTGATTCCAAATTTTGAAATATCAAGTTTGTTGCTGCGGAGGGGTTTCTCAAATTCTAGGTTATGTTGTTCTTTGTTTATTCTTTGAAGTATTAAAATTGCATTGGCTTTCCTTGTATTATTTCTGTTTCCAAGTAACAATGTTCCCTAAGAAACAACCATCCAGAAGTCAAAAAAGAAAAAGAAAAAAAGAGATAGAAGAATGAACTCAAACTCAAAAGGAGCTATCTAGATAAAATTTTCTTAACAGAACAAATAGTTCACTTGATAACTCAACTGAAGATTTAGTCAATGAATCTGAACAACAAAATCATGTTGAAGAATTTGTAGCAATTGATAATGATTTAGTCAATGAATCTGAACAAAAAGATCATATTCAAGTTTGAATTGATATAATTTATTTGCCTTGAATGTTAAATTTTGAGTTAATTTAGATAGGTTAGGTCTTAGTTGAAAAATGAGAGAGTCCATCACTAAGTTTAAAAAAAAACAAATTATATATATATGGCCTAATTTTTCACATTTGCCCAGTGCCCTAAAAGATTCAGGACCCGCCCTGGGACACTACAACAATTTTGAGCAATACTCGCTAACATTAGTTGAACATAATGAGATGGCTAAAGGCATTATTATTATTAGTATCTAATAAAACAATGGGCACCAATAATTGTGGGATGTTAACTATCAGTCATTAATAGTGTTTTTTAGCCACTTCATCGTATATAACTAATATCAGTAACTATTGCTCAAAATTAGTTATAGTTTGCCCCATTTCATACCTGCGAATTAATACTCATCCTTTAATAATATGAAATAAAGACCAGATTTCTATTTCTTACCATCTAGCTTATGTAGTTTTATATACATATATATAAATTATGGGATTGCATTCATAATTTAATTAAAAAATCATTAGTTATAAAAGACCAATACAAACTAGCCATAAACGACTAATACAACCTAGCCACCAAGGACCAATACAATAACATAGCGATCTAACATAAAAATGAAGACAATTTGGTACACCTTCACTAACGATCAGGCTTGTTAGGTTTCTTAACTTTCCAATGTAGAACATTTCTTCATATTCTCACAATTATGTTTAGTGCGTTAGTCCGACTTTTTCTGTGGCTCATAAGGGCGGATCCACATAGGGGCAAGAGGGGTCAATTGACCCCTGCAAGCCCGGAATCCACCATTGGAGACGAAGATGTTGACCTCTGCAAATTGTCCACAAACTACTTGATGAAATACTCCATTTACTTTCATTTATTTTTATATTACTCCATTTACTTAAGTTTACAGTGTAAATAAGAAAATACCCCTCATTTGGATTTAAATAAAAATACTATAAAATCAAATTCCCACCAAATCAAAATTTGAAAAATCAATTTTAGTGCAAAATACGATTTAGGCTAAAATTGATGGCTCATTAAGTCAATATATACTTCATACTAAAATCCCATGATGTGTAAGGAATAAAAGCCGCCAAAAATTATCTTGAGAAAATGATTATTCTGAAAAATTATTTTTTATAATTAGCCAATATTTTTACATAAAATAATTTTTCATGTCTGATATGAATACATGAAGGGACCTAGGGTCAATCTAAAAGCCTTAGATGTTTAATCCACAAAGAGTTTTACAAGAATAACCTAACTTTTACGTATTGAAGAAATATTTGCTTGAATAAGCTCCCCCGAAGACATTACTCATAAGTAGGGGTGGTTGCGGTTCGGTAACCGCGAA